CCTGGGGGTAGTAGGTCCATGGTTGGGTACAAGTACCTCTACCTACTTAGCAAAAGTGGACTTCTACTCTCATCACTGATGCTAGATGCTGAACGTGGCCACTAGAACCTCTAGCCCTGCTGCCCTTGGAAGGTGGTAATTGTTATTGTGTGTGTGGCAGGGGTGGTCAGAATATATTGCAAGCAATACCTCTGTCTTCACTTTACCCTCTTCTGACCTGAAATCTCACTCAGTTGTGGAAAATGGGGCAACCAGTGTTGGTAACGAACCATGAAGTAAGGAACCTAGAAGTAAGGAACCTTGCAGAGGTAAATGTTCAACTTTTACCTCAGGAATAAACTGATAAAAAGATGGGAGTCCCCAAACATAGAATATTCCAAGTTTATCTTATATTAACTCTTTTGATTTATAACCTAAAACACAGAGCATTAAAGAGGTACCTTTTTATTACTATTCAGTGTCCTCCATTAAAACAGTACCTTGGGGATCAAGTAATCCACACCTTTTGTATTAACAGAAGAGCAAACAGGCTCAGAGCAATAAAGTGATTTGATCATGTCAGACTTTTAAGTTCTTAGTAGAGCTGATAATGTAGCTTAAGAATGTATTCTAGGTGGGGCGCCTGGGTGGCCTAGTGGGTTAAACCTCTGCCTTCGGCTCAGGTCATGATCTTGGGGTCCTGGGATAGAGCCCCGCATCGGGCTTTCTGCTCAGTGGGGGGGCCTGCTTCCCCCACCCTCTCTGCCTCTCTGCCTACTTGTGATCTCTCTCTCTGTGTCAAATAAATAAATAAAATCTTAAAAAAAAAAAAAGAATGTATTCTAGGAAAGATTCCAAAACGCATAGCACAATGCACAGTGATTTAAGAGTCTTCTTATGCTGAGAATTGTTTGTGTGCATTATTTTGAAAGTACTAGCTATTCATGTTCTTAATATTCTTGGAACTATCCCAAAATTGTACATTTGAAAAATAAATGTGGGGTGCCTGGGTGGCTCAGTGGGTTGGGCCTCTGCCTTCGGCTCAGGTCATGATCCCAGGGTCCTGGGATCGAACCCCACATCGGGCTCTCTGCTCAGCAGGGAGCCTGCTTCCTCCTCTCTCTCTGCCTGCCTCTCTGCCTACTTGTGATCTCTCTCTGTCAAATAAATAAATAAAATCTTTAAAAAAAAAAAAGGAAAAGAAAAATAAATGTATTAGTCTTATTATTTCTATTTTGCTATTTGAGGCAATGTGCTATGTCCCCCAACATCTTTTTACCCCTTCCATAGTAACACAAACCCTAAATTTTTTCTGGGCCATGACCACTAACAATAAAGATTATGTTCCCAGTCTCCTTTGCAGCTGTGTGTGGCCATGTGATTACATTCTGCATAATGAGATGTAAACAGAATTGTATGCAACTTCTGGGAAATGTTCTTAAAATGTGCTGTTTTGTTCCTCTTTCCTGCTGAGTGGAATGCAGCTGGAGTGCTAGAAGCCATCTTGGACAATAAGGTGAACTTGAGAAGGAGATGCTTATGTGGTAAAGGAAGAAGACAGGAGTCTGGATTCCTAACACCATGGAATCCCTTTCCAACTGTGGACTCATTACCTCCAGATTTCTTTTCTTTTCTTTTTTTTTTTTTTAAAGATTTTATTTATTTATTTGTTAGAGAGAGAGACAGCACAAGCAGGGGGAGAGGCAGGCAGAGGGAGAAGCAGGCTCCACACTGAGCAGGGAGCCCGATGTTGGGACTCAATTCCAGGACCCTGGGATCATGACCAGAGCCAAAGGTAGATGTTTAACTGACTGAGCCACCCAGCCATCCGCCTCCAGATTTCTTAAACATGAGAAATAAATAAGCTTTTTATTTTGTTTATTGCTATTTCAGTTTATTATAGTTTTTTTTTTCCTGGCTGAATCAGATCTGAATTTATTATTCCTGGCCTTGCCCACCTTAATTGCTAATGCTGATGTAGCCCTGGTTGGGTGATATGATCTCAACTTGGGCATGTCATGTACAAGCCAGGGACAAATCAATGCCATAGTCTCGAGATGTAGTCCCCAGATACACAGCAGACCACTACCACCAGCCAGCCCAGCACTCCCCTAAGTGTTATATCCAAATAACACCAACCAGTCAATAAGAATCTGAGGTTTCCCTTTTTTTAATGTGAGATGGAAATAGTTCATAGTCTTTTGGTTGTAAAAGATGTACTCCATTCCTCTTTTTTCAAGACTCATCTCTGGACTGGGTGGGTTCTCTGCTTGCCAGAGAAACTTGTACACTCCATACTCAACCTTTGCTCTTTAACAGTCTGATTTTTTTCCTTTAATACTACTCACTTTTAAAAACATTAAACTCCTGGGGTGCCTGGCTGGCTCCGTCAGTAGAGCATGCGACTCTTGATCTCAGGGTTTTTAGTTCGAGCCCCACGTTGGGTACAGACATTAAAATAAAATCTTTAGGGTGCCTGGGTGGCTCAGTGGGTTAAAGCCTCTGCCTTCGGCTCAGGTCATGATCCTGGGGTCCTGGGATGGAGCCCCATATCGGGCTCTCTGCTTAGTGGGGATCCTGCTTCCTTTCTCTCTCTGCCTGCCTCTCTGCCTACTTGTGATCTCTGTCAAATAAATTAATAAAATCTTAAAAAAAATAAAATCTTTAAAACAAACAAAAGACCATTAAGCTATTTTAAAAATGTGCTAATGATATGGTCTGTGGGAAAGCTATCTTTATATCTCTGGCAAAATTGCTACAGAAAATAAACTTCTAGTATTCCTCACATATGAACAAAAGAGACAATTAGTCTTTGACAACAATATGTCAAGTCAATGGTAGTTATATTCTCATGGGCCCACAAATGATTTACTAAAGTCTTTACATTTTCTCAAAAGGTCAAATATTCAAAAAATTATATGGATAATAAAGGGTAACACTAAGTACTATAATTTCATCCTCCTCCTAATCCTATTTAGTAGGTTCTGTTAGTAATACTGAGAAAACGGAAGCAGAGTCCAAGGTCACTAAGTAGTAAATAATGGAACTGAGGTTCAAACCCTCAGAGCTTCTGCTCTGGGCTTTTTGGTGTGGGAGTGGGTGAGGGATAGATATAAATTTTCAATTTCTTTAAGTGCTTTTACATTTACTTTATTTGTGTGAAATATAGACTGTTATCTGGATAATTAGAAGAATGCCTTTTGCCTCAGTTATTCAGACTTTTGAAGTTGACAGTCCCTTTTCAAATTAATGTTAATTTTCTTTTTTAAAAAGATTTTATTTTTAAGTAATCTTTACACCCAACATGGGGCTCAAACTTACAACCCTGGAGATTAAGAGTCACATGCTCTACTGACTGGGCCAGCCAGGCACCCCAGTGTTCACTTTCTTAATTGCTTAATATTAATACATATTATCTTGCATATATAGATATAAATAAATGCATTTTATACATATTTTTATGTAAATAAATGTATAGAAATAAAATCATAAAATTAAGGAAAATGTGGTATACGTACACATTTGCATACATAATTTTAGACAATATAGCTTGCAATTTATTTTATCTTATCCTTCTCACACATGATTTCTTTTAGAATTTTACTAAAATACTCCAAGTTATAGAAAAGTAGAATAATGTTGCAAAACACTACTCATCATCTTTTGTCAAATCTTGATGCTGTATTTGCTGCAGATAACTATTTTTGTTTTTTGAATAGCTAATGTATTTATATGTTCAAAAAAGGTATAGGGCGCCTGGGTGGCTCAGTGTGTTAAGCCTCTGCCTTCGGCTTGGGTCATGATCTTGGGGTCTTGGGATCGAGTCCCGCGTCCCGCGTCGGGCTCTCTGCTCATTGGAGAGCCTGCTTCCCCCTCTCTCTCTGCTTGCCTCTCTGACTACTTGTGATTTCTCTCTCTGTGTGTCAAATGTATAAATAAAATCTTTAAAAAAAAAAGAAAGAAAGAAAAGAAAGGTACAGGGGCTCCTGGCTGGTTCAGTAGGTAGAGTGATTCTTGATCTCAGGGTCATGAGTTCAGACCCCATTTTGGGCTAAAGCTTACTTGAAAAAAAAAGGTACAGTTAAGTCCCCAACCTACCTCACGCCATATGCCCAGTTCCCATCCCCACAGGTATTAGTTATGTATTTATTTTCCTCACTTGTGTGTATGTGCGGGAATATAAGTAAATACGAATATATTTGGACTCACTTTTTTTAAGTAAACTCTACCAAGTGGGGTTTGAACTTAACTACTCTGAGATGAAGAGTCGCATGCCCTATGAATTGGGCCAGTCAGGGGCCCCTTAACTCACTTAAAAAAATAATAATAAAAATAAAAATTAAGGGTGCCTGGGTGGCTCAGTGGGTTAAGCCGCTGCCTTCGTATCAGGTCATCATCCCAGGGTCCTGGGATTGAGCCCTGCATCGGGCTCTCTGCTCAGCAGGGAGCCTGCTTCCCTCTCTCTCTCTGCCTGCCTCTCTGCCTGCTTGTGATCTGTCAAATAAATAAATAAAATCTTTAAAAAAATTAAAATTAAAGGCAATTTTTTACATTTTTTGTAAAATTTTTTACATTTTGTGTCATAACTCCTTTTTTCCCATTTTTAAGTTAACATATAATGTATTAACTCTTTACCACCTCTTTTCTCAGCTCATTATTCAATAAACAATAAAACTCAGTGTTCAAGGAATTGTTATTAACTCTGAAGAATCGGTAGTTTCTTACCAAATTCTTTCGGCCCTATTCCCTCTGCTCCATCCACAAGCCAGTTTTCTAGAAAACAAACCTCTCCCGAAACTCTCAACTGCCTAGAGAGTACAAATAATGAGCTTGAAGTAAGCGAAGTCCACCTCCTCTAAAGAATTCCGGAGGGCGGAAGCTGCGGGCGAGGCGCGGTGGGAAGGCGGGACCCCGGAAAGGCGGGGACGAACGCGTGCGGGCGGCACCTGGGGGGGCGGGAGGGGCGGGTAGGCGGGTCGCGCGGGCTCCGCCCAAGCCCTGCGCAGATTTGGCGCCAAACTCGGAGGCCTCTTCTCGCGGCGCGATCTCCAGAGTCTCGCGATCAACGCGGTTTGGGGGCCGCGTCTACCCCCGCGCGGTGGCCGCCGCCGCGAGCGTGAGGTGAGAGCGGGCACGCGGGCCAGTGGAGGGCCTGTGGGGAGCGGTGGGGAGCGGTGGTCGAGCGAGGGGGGCGGGAGAGCAGGGGTGCTGGGGCGTCGCGGGGTGGGAGTGTGGAGGTTGGAGGAGAAGACTGCGACGGACCGGGGCGGAGGGGGACCGGAGAGGCCGCGACCTGTGGGGAAGAGGGCGGGCACTTCTCCCTGTCGTTTCTCTTTCGGGTCCGCCTCTCGCCAAACTCCGCCCTGTAGCGGGAGGGAATGTGCGTCGTCAGTCCACCTCTACGTCCCGGGCTACTTTCTGTCCCGGCGCTTCTAGGCATAGAAGGCGTCCTGTAAATGTGGGATGGATGGATGAATGAAGTTGAAGGGAGACTAGGGCAGCGGGGATGGTAGGGTGGAGAAGGGAGATGGGGTGGCAGAGTGGTTTTAGGGTGGCTGGCAAAGGAGGACATGGAGTCATCACTTTTCGACACGGGCTACTGTTTTGATAATTTGGATGAAGTTGGACATTGGACCCCTTAAGGGTCTGGGAACGAATTGGAGTTTGGATATTAAATTTCTTTGTTACCTTGACTTCTTTGAGAGTTTGAGGACCAGAGCGGGGAAACTAAGAGAATTTAGGATTTCATCAGTGTCTAAAAACAGTATGCAACCACCGTCAAGAAGTGAAAGATCAGAGAGCAGCCTTATTCACAACCAGTTTACTGACAAACGCCACCCTCATGCTTGGCCAATTCCTTACGCTGCATCTTGCTACACTTAATATAGTTTGTGCCCTGCCATCAAACTCACGGCTCCCTGTTCTCAAAAGTGTGAACCCCATTTCTTCCCAAAGAAACTTGACTAGGATCAAACTTAACCTGACTATACTTACTGTAGCTAGGAAGCTACTTTAGAGATTATATAACCTTTGACTGCCTTTCCAGTTTTGAAAATCTATGGTTATTGAGCCTTACTTGAAGATAAAAGGTGGGTCATCATCAGGAGTTGATACGTTGTTTTGTTTTTTTTTTTTTTGTTTTTTTTTGTATCTGTGGTCATGGAAATTTAGAATTGGAGAGATTTTAGGGATCATTTAGCTCTAGTAGCTTTACAGTTTGAGGGAAGCTTTGGAATCTTTATTCCTTCATTCAACAGATATTTGTGGAGCCCCTGCTGTATACCAGCTTTGGGGATACAGTGGTGGAGCACAAAGAGACTCACCTGGTTTTTGCCTTTTTAGAGCTGCAGTCTAGTATGGAAGACAAACAGTCAAATAATCACAGAAATGGAAAATAATATTGAAACTTGAGTAAGTGCCATGAAATTGGTACTTGGTACTTTGAATGCTTATTACAGGAGATTTAATTCAGGGAAATTGGGGTAGACTTATCTAAGGAGGTGAGAGTTGAGATCTGAAAGAGACAAGAAGTCTGGGAAGAGCCTTCAAGATAGGAAACAACCTTAGCAATGGACCTTTTCCCAATTTTTTCCCATTTTTCCCATTCCCATGGCCTGAGGGATATGGCTCTTTCAAGATAAAGAAAAGAGCAGGAAGAATTGTTTGAAGTGAGGCTGGAGAAGTAGGAAGGTGCCAAACCAAGCAGAGCTTTGGCGTTTTTTCATTAGCCCAAGAGCAGTAGGAACCCATTGAAATATTTAAGCTAAGTGGTAATGTGATTGGCTTTACATTTCCAGAGCCTTAGTCTAGCTATAGTATGGAGAATGGTTTGAAAAAGGCAAAAGTGGTTATGAGTAATGGAGTAATGAAAAGAAGGAATGTTAGGAAGTGGTTGTGGAGATAGGGAGAAATGGAAAGACTTAACTGATGCTTAGGAAGTAAAATGGACAGGATAAGTAGGATGGATGGGGAAGGAGGTATCAGGGATGATTTACAGTTCTCTTACTTGCATGGATGGATAGATGTCACTCACTGAATTGGGAAAATTTAGAAGTTTGGTTTTGTACATGAGATGATATAGTTGCCTTTGAGAAATTGAAGAGCTGTAAAAGGAGATGTAGGGATCTGGAGCTCAGATTTGATGCCTAGAGTAGAGATAAAAAACTAGAGATAAATATTCATCTATCAATGATTATTAAAACCATGCACATGAACAAGTGAAGAGGGCCTGGGATGGAGTCTTGAATACCTGCTGACCAGGTTAGGGGAAGATGAATCTGCACAGAAGATCTAGGAGCAGTGTTCAGAAAGGGAGGAAAGTAAGTAAGTGCTGTGTTTCAGAAACCAACAAAAATACCTTTCCAGAAAAAGGAGAAAGGAACTGATCAAAAGTGTTAGATGTCAAGTTTGATGGCACTGAAAAGGCTTCTTTCAATTTATCAGCCTTAGGATTATTTCCCTTCTGTCACAGGAAACCTTAACTAAAAGATGAATATGTAAACAGATTTTTTAAAAAGCTGCTCTGTTTAAAGTGGGGATGAGGTACCTGAACCCTGCCTCTTTCACACCCATTTGAACCATAGTTTGAAGCCCTCTGAAGGGAGACTCAACAGTTGAGGGAAAATGGTTTGCTGAAAATCATGCAGTTATTGGGTGATAGGGTCTATGTTAGAACTCACTTCCGATTTCTAAACCAGTAGTTTTTTCCCCTGTAACCAGTCTCCACTTCTTTTCATGATGTGTTTAACTGACGGAACCACATGCATTTTGCTGCAGGTAGAACTTAACTGTGTAATAGGGAGACTACTTGGATGAATAAACATGCTTATTTTTTCTTTCCTGTAGAGGAGAAGATGCTGGAGCCACAGGAGAATGGCTTGATTGACCTACCAGATTATGAGCATGTAGAAGATGAAACTTTTCCTCCTTTTCCACCTCCAGCCTCTCCACAGAGAGAAGATGGTGACGGAACTGAACCTGATGAAGGTCTTTATAGAGTTCTAAGAAAGTGCCTGTGTTCAGTTATCCATCTATTAGCATAGAAATGATGTGTTTTATAAATGAGGCTTAAATTATTTAAGTAATATTAAATCTTGGTATATTTTACCAGAGTCAGGGAGAGGAGTACCTGTTCCTGTACCTCCAAAGAGAACAGTTAAACGGAATATACCCAAGCTGGATGCTCAGAGGTACATTTACTATTTCCCTAAACATTTCTTTCTTTCTTTTTTTTTTTCTTTCACATTATGTTTTTTACCCCTTATATAAAAAACTTTCAGTTGGTATGATTTGGAGTTATTTGTCCTTAGGAAAAAAAAAAAAATTATTTATTTATTTATTTATTTGAGAGATTGTTGGGGGTGCAGAGGGAATGGGAGAGAGAGACTCTCAAGCAGACTCCCCACTGAGCGTGGATCCCACTGTAGGGCTTAATCTTAGGACCCTGAGGTCATCACCTGAGCTGAAATCAAGAGTTGGATGTTTAGCTGACTGAGCCAGCCAGGCACTTTTGTTTTTCAGTTCAGTGGATAATAATGGTTTTGCTTTGGCCTTGGTGGTTCTAGAAAACTTGAAATTAAGAACATATTTCTCTTCACAGATTAATTTCAGAAAGAGGGCTTCCAGCATTAAGGCATGTGTTTGATAAGGCGAAATTCAAAGGTAAAGGTCATGAGGTAAGAATTGTCTGATTTTTATTCTTTGTTCTTTTGAATATCGGTAGAACTGTGGGCCCATTATCATGTTCTGAGGAATCTTAGAATGTTTCACAGATACTATCTTTTATCATATCTCTTGAGAAGCTAAGATGTAGTGGAAAGGGCACTGCTTTAAGAGTCAGAAAACAAGTCTTATAGTCTCATTTTTGCCACTCTATGGCTTTGGAAAATCACATCTAAGTCTGTAAGTTTTGAGTTTGTACTTTATAATTCCTAGGAATAAAATTGACTTAGTCACCTGAAAGAGCAATTTTACGCTTCGGGAGAGCAAGGACTTGACTTGTATCAGTTACATGTCCCCAAGATAATGACACATATCTTGTCATATGTGTCTAATTCATAATAGGCATCATTTAAGTTGAAAAATGAAGACATTTAACTGTTAATCACTGTCTAAATGTATATTTTAAAAGTCTCTTATCTCTCTCTCTTTTTTTTTAAGATAAGTCTCTTATCTCTCTTTTTTTTAATTGGGAGCCCCCAGTATGGGGCTTGAACTCATGACCTTGAGATTGAGACCTGGGCTGAGATTGAGTCATAGCTTAACTGACTGAGCTACACAGGCACCCCTAAAAGTCACTTATCTTTGAATAATGTAGAGTGTAGATATAATTTTTTGCGGATATCTTTATAGAGCTTTGCAGTTCATGAAGTATTTTCAAATATATTCTTTAATTCTCAAACCTGTGGGTGGGCTTGTTGGTCCCATTATCTAGTTGAGGAAATGAGATTTTAGAATTCTTTTAAAGATTGTATTTATTTATTTGACAGAGAGCAAGCATAAGCAGGGGAAGTGGCAGAAGACTCCCCACTGATAAGGGAGCCCGATGTGGGGCTCCATCTCAGGACCATGACCTGAGCTGAAGGCAAATGCTTAAGTGACTGAGCCACCCAGATGCCGGGAATTTTAGAGGTTTAAGTGTCCAAAGCTAACAGTTAAGACTTCCCCTTTCATAGTCCAGCTAGAGTACTGTTAATGTAACAGTGAGCACCATCTTAGTGTGGTATGCAGGATAATGGGAAAGAGGGAAGAGACTGGAAGCAGAGGGCAATTCAGATACTATCGCATTACCAGGGTGAAGATGAACAAGGTCAAGATAGCCTGATAGGATAGTAGTAGAGACATAAACAACATACAGTACTTATAGGCAGTTGGATATAAGGAGGTAAAAAGAAGTAAAAAAATAATCCCAGGAGGAGTCCCCAGCTTGCTTAGTTGGTAGAACGTGTAACTCCTGATCTTGGGGTCGTGAATACGAGCCCCACATTGTATGTAGAGCTTACTTAAAAAAAATTAAAAACAAAAAATCCAAGATTTTAAGGCTGGGAGGCTGAAAAATTGTAGTACCTTTGCTCAGCTTCAGTGGATGGGAAGAGAGAATAGAAGTCTGTCCTATTTTGCCAGAAAACGAAATGTAAATCAGGATATTTTAAAAGCATACCCATCTCAAAAAAAAAGAGGGACACCTAGCTGGCTCAGTTAGTGGAGCATGAGACTCGATCTTGGGGTTGTGAGTTAAAGCCCCATGTTGGGTATAAAGCTTACCTAAAAAGACAAAAAAAAAACCCACAAAACCATCCCAGGTAATTCATTGCCCTTGTTGAAATTTTCAGGCTGTAAGGATGAATTGGTGCTTTGACTTTAATGAAGTCCTCATCATTTTTATAATAAGTACTTTATTAAAATAAATGAGTTTATATGAAGGATACAAATTTTGTGTTTCTTCACTGGGTGAGGGTGAGCTCCAGGAGTTTATGCTGTTTAGTCTTCTGTGTTTTGCCCTTGGAAATTCTTCCTGTTTTGTCACAGAGTTGAATCCTCGCTGATTTTTTCTCCATGTATGACTTAGGACATATTTAGGTGTATTTAGGTGTTTCTCTTGTGACCCTTAGGTCTAACATGATATTGTGAGGTGACTGACCAGCTACCCCCCAACAATTAGAAAATAATCTTAGGTGATTGAGTTAAATACGAACAAATAAACTTACCTTTATTATCAGAATGAGAAGGAAAACACATATTCTCTGTATTACTTTATACATTTTTTTTAAAAGATTTTATTTATTTATTTGACAGATAGAGATCACAAGTAGATGGAGAGGCAGGCAGAGAGAGAGAGAGAGAGGGAAGCAGGCTCCCTGCTGAGCAGAGAGCCCAATGCGGGACTCGATCCCAGGACCCTGAGATCATGACCTGAGCCGAAGGCAGCAGCTCAACCCACTGAGCCACCTAGGCGCCCCCTCTGTATTACTTTAATGTATGTGCTGCAAACACAATGCTGTTGGTATTATATGTTTAGTTACTGGCCGGTTGACCATTGCCTTCTCAGACAAGATCAGATAACAGGAAAGTAGCCAGTATTTGACTGTATACTTTGTGTCAGGCACTTTACTTGTATTACTTATTTCTCATAATCCTACAAAGTGTGTAAAATACTCTCTTAATGCGAAAAAGAAGGCACAGCAGTAGAGTGATTCGCTTAAAGTCACAGAACTATTAGGTAGCAGGATTGAGATTTGATTCTATACAGTGTGATCCAGAGCCTGTGCTTTTGACAGTTGTATTTTTTTTTTTTATTACTATTTATTTGAGAGAAAGAGAGCACATAAGCAGGGGGAGAAGCAGAGGCAGAGAAGACGACTCCCTGCTGAGCAGAGAGCCCAATGTGGGACTCCATCCCAGGATCCTGAGGTCATGACCTGAGTCAACTGAGCCACCTGCACCCCTTGACTATTCTGTTTTAAAATATTGTTAAGGGATACCTGGGTGGCTTAGTCGGTTAAGAGTGTCTCACTCTTGCTTTCCACTCAGGTCATGATCTCAGGGTTGTGAGATTGAGGGAGCCCCACCTCTGGCCCTGTGCTCATTGGGGAGTCTGCTTGGGGATTTCTAGCCCCCTGCCCTTCTCCCCACTCATGTATGCAAGCGTCCTCTCTCACATACACTGTCTCAAAAATAAGTAAATAAATCTTTAAAATCCTATTAAAAGAAGAATAAAATATTTTACATTAAAACCAGGAATTTGCAATTTTGTTATTCCTTAGTTCAGTTTATTAAACTTTGTTTTTCATTTTCATTTTAAAAAATTTAAATGTTAAATTAAAATTTCATATATAAAGAGGAATTGTGCCCTGAGAACATTTTAACTGTTGTTGCTAGTCTTTGTACTTACCCTTGGGATTTCCGAATACATTTTTGTAGTTTTGAATTCTCAATGCTTTGTTCTCTATGTATGATTTAGGGACCTGTCATTTTGTTTAATTATTCCTAAAAGATATCTTGACGTATTTTATTAAAGCTTATTTTCACATATTCCTTTACAGTTCTGAAAAGGTACATGATATCCATCTGCCTTCAGCTCAAGTTATGATCCCTGAATCCTGGGATCGAGCCCTGCATCAGGCTACCTGATCAGCAGGGAGCCTGCTTATCCCTCTCCCTCTGCTGCCCGCCCTGCTTGTGCTCTCTTGTGGGCTCTCTCTCTCTCTCTCTCAAATAAATAAATAAATTCTTTTTTAAAAAGATATATGATTATCTTTTAACTTTTATCATGTTTTTGTACTGTTTTTTTTTTTTAATCTATATCCAGTGCTCTTTTAGATTGTAGTCCTCTTAAACTCAATGAATAGTTCCTCTTCTTAAAGTTTCTTCAGAAGTTTCTTAACCTTATAAATATAAAATGACACCAGTGACTTTGGCATTACTATTCAATTCTGAAATCTGCTGACAAGGTTAGTTCTGAGAATGAGTCTTCTATTTAGCATTTTTATTTTTATGTGCCAGGCTGAAGACTTGAAAACTCTAATCAGACACATGGAGCATTGGGCACATAGGCTATTCCCTAAGCTGCAATTTGAGGATTTTATTGACAGAGTTGAATACCTGGGAAGTAAAAAGGAAGTTCAGGTAGGTGTTGAGATTATTATGAATATCATTCATGATGCTAAATAGTGCCAAGGTTGGATTTTAGTTGAGGCTAAGTCACTGTTTGGTGTTTTTATTTTGAAATCTGTCATGGAGGGAAAAAAATAGTAGTTATTTGAAGAACAACTTTTTTGAAACTAAGAATTGAATAAATTCTCATTTTATCCCAAGTGTTCCTGATGAAAATGTAAAAATATCTCTTTATTTTCAGACCTGTTTAAAGCGAATTCGACTTGACCTGCCTATTTTACATGAAGATTTTATTAGCAATAATGGTAAGAATACAGGTTTATTTATAACAATTTCGCTGTTAGAAATAGATCTAGTTGGGGCAGGGGTAGATTAAGCACTGGATTCTTCATCTATATTGAGTAATTGAGTAGACATAATTACAGTAAATAGAAATGAGTTAAAATGCCTTGGTACATCTATTGTTTGACACTTGTTTCTTAAAGATATGCCTGCAGTGCCATTAAGAGATGTAGAAATATATTTAGTTATAGAACTTGAGCCTTTGAGAACTGATACCCATTTATCCTTTGTAGTGCTTGGTTAATGAAAATAAATGACACTAGTTCATATTCACACACACCATTAAAAGTGGCTCTGGGGAATTAGAATAATTTGATGGTGAAATAGTTTACATTTCTCTTAAGAGTATAGATCCTGTACATAGATGGTCCCCAACTTAACAGTGGTTTGGCTTATGATTCTTCGACTTTATGATGGTGCAGAAGTGATACACACTCACTAGAAACCATACTTAGAATTTCAGATTTTGATTTTTTCCCCCCAGGCTAGCATATGTGCTGTGATACTCTTGTGATGCGGGGCAGGAGCAGCCACACATGAGGGCAAACCACCGATTTGTACCCATACAACCACAGTGTTTTCCACTTTCAGTACAGTATTCCATAAATTACATGAGATATTCAACACTGTATTATAAAACAGTCTTTGTGTTGCATGATTTTGCCTAACTAGGGTAATGTTAGTGTTCTGAGCACGTTTAAGATAGGTGAGGTATATTAAATCCATTTTGACTTACTATCAACTGATGAGGGCTTATCAGGATGTAACCCCATTTTTAGTTGAGGAAGATCTCTGTAGGTCTTCCGTAAGACCTGTGTGACTGTTCCTGGTACTGGTTGCATTTGTTAGTTGTACAGTGCGACCATAGGTAGTCACACACATCAAAACATGGTTCCTGCCGACAGGGTCTGTATAGTTATCAGATTCTCTGTGCGATGGCTCCATACATGTTTATTTTTGTTTTTTAAACCTTTAATAGATGTGGTAGAAAATACAGGCTCCCTGTAGAATGCCGCCAAGTTATTTATAAGTTGCTATTAAAAATGAAAAATTGTTATCATATGATCTCTCTGATATGAGGAATTTGAGAGGGAAGTGGGGGATTTGGGGGGGTAGGGAAGGAAAAAATGAAACATGATTGGGAGGGAGACAAATCATAAGAGACTCTTAATCTCACAAAACAAACTGAGGGTTGCTGGGGGTAGGAGGGGTATGGAGAGGGTGATTGGGGTTATGGACATTGGGGAGGGTATGTGCTGTGGTGAGTGCTGTGAAGTGTGTAAGCCTGACGATTCACAGACCTGTGCCCTTGGGGCAAATAATACATTATATGTTAATAAAAAAAATTTTTTTTAAAGAATCTCTTTAAAAAAGATTTTTAACATTAAACAGCTTTTATGAAAATACATTTGAAAAATGAGATAGCAATATTAAAAATGATTGATTCATTTTTAGTTTTGAAATTGATTTTTATTCTTTACCAGTGTCTTGGAAGAAGTGTTAGAATTCAAAAAATACACTAATCAACTGAAAACCAATTTAAAAAAAATGAAAAATTGTGATTCATATAATCCAAGATTTAATATTTTGGTAAGATACGGTATGTTTCTGTGGGATAGGATTTGGTATACGGAAAGGAATTAGTAACTAAATTCCATAGCACATACCACTGGGTCAGGTAGTTCATTTGGTAGGAGTTTTTGAGGGGCATAATGTGTGTTAGTGTTTCAGGGATAAAGATGAATAAGGGGCGCCTGCGTGGCTCAGTGGGTTAAGCCTCTGCCTTCTGCTCAGGTCATGATCTCAGGGTCCTGGGATCAAGCCCTGCACTGGGCTCTCTGCTCAGCAGGGAGCCTGCTTCCCCCTGTGATCTCTCTCTCTGTCAAATAAATAAAATCTTAAAAAAAAAAAAAGATGAATAAGATCAGACCCCTTGGTTCATGTGCTAGCAGACTAGTGGGTGAGTGAGATATAACATCACCTCCATTCTGATAGGTGCTGAAATTAGAAACAGGGCACAGGGTAAGGCGCAAAGGAGAGCATAGTTGCTTTTACCCAGGGGAGGGGAAAGCAATCCTCACAGAAGACAAATCACAAGTACTTTGAATGATAAGCAGGAGAGTTCAGACAAAAGTGATTTTGGAGAGAGGGACTCATTTGTGCAGAGGCAATAAATTAATGGGACTATTGATGGGATTATAGGCTTGCTGAAATACTGGGTACTTAGAAGAGGCCTCTGTCACACAGCCTTGTTTGTTGTTGAATCTGTCTTCTCTGTATCCTAAGAGAATGGTCTTCAGATCTTTTGGATAAGGTACTACAACAGTAAAAGTGTTTTGAGCATTTTATTTATTTTTATAATACATGCACTACTTATGTGATAAATAACACATTTTTTAAAAAAGTTTTATTTGAGAGAGCGAGCATGAGTGAGCATGAGCTGGGGGAGGGGCAGAGGAAGGAGGAGAAGCAGATTCCCTGCTGAGTGTGGAGCCTAATGTGCGGCTTGATCCCAGGACCCTGAGATCATCACCTGAGCCAAAGTCATACGCTTAACCCATTGAGCCACCCTTGCTCCCAATAATGCACATTTTAATTCTCACTAGAACATTATTACCATGATTTAAAGTGAGAACAATATGACTTAATGCTCTTTGGAATATTTTCTTTCCTCCAAAATTTTGGGCTGATAGCCTGATTGATGATTTGAAGGTGTGGTAGATACAGTCTCCCCTCAACAAATCTTAGTTTTATCTTACTAAGATTCATCCAAGTAGAAGTGGAGTATCATTAATGGCACTTAACATTTTCCCATCCCATTCACTAATGCAAGGATTCTTGTTGAAGTTCACAAGCAAATTATCATCTACCTTTTTTCAATCAGTTTTCTTAAAAGTCAATCAGGGGTTAAATTTTAATATTTTTGGCATATATATAGTCCTGTAACTCCTCTGCTTAGAGCCCTATAGTGGCTCCTTATTTCACCCAGAGCAAAAGCCAAAATCCTCACAATGTCTTCCTTGGCCCTACAGTATCTACTCCTTACCCTATCTTCCTTGCCTCTCTGACTGTATCTTTTACAGTTCCCCACTCATAACTGCTTTAGTTGCCTCCTAGCTATTCATCGAACCTTCCAGGCACGTTTTTGTCTTAAGGCTTTTGCATTCTTACTCTGCCTTGAACACATCCTTCGTCCTCCTTCCCACCCCCAAGTCTACATGGCTCTCCTACCCCCTTTAAACTGTGCTCACATGTCAACTCAGTGCAGTCTCCCTGACTACACTATTAAAATCGTACTCCCACTCCCAGTCCTGATTCCCTATCCTTTTTTACCCCATAGTACTTACTTCCTTTCAGTTATTGTGTATTTGCTTCTCTGTTGGTTTATGTGTGCTAAAATGATGGCATCCTCTAGCACACTAAATATTTGTCTTAAGCTTCTTTGCCACAGTTGCATGCCTGCTAATGTTGCAGTGAGTGAATGTCAAAATTTTTTAATCCCATTTTTATCAGTCAAAGCTTCATCAGTGGTTATGTTCACACTGGTTTTCCATAAAACATTGTATTAAAGAGGCCATTTACTATTGAAGAGATCTTTCCTTCCATGGCTTACAAAACAGTAGTTCTTTACGTATGTCATCCTTATTTATTCGGAATCCTGTACACCTTGTAAGGTGAAGCATAGTAGAAACCCCAGTATTGCATAATTGGTTCTAATACTTGTTTAACTTCTCTAGCAATGTTTTCTCCCTGTATACCATCAATATTTCCTGACAAAGGAATGCATCTTAGTTTCTTGCTACATTTTTTTTTTCTATGTCAGGAAGGACAAGTGTATTGCTTTTTCTTTCACTGTTAAGGAAGAAACCTCAAAAGGATTTGGTTGTAAAATCAAGTATCATAGGATTTTTTTTTTTTTTTTAAGATTTTTTATTTATTTATTCAACAGAGAGAGAGATCACAAGTAGGCAGAGAGGCAGGCAGAGAGAGAAAGGAGGAAGCAGGTTCCCCGCCAAGGAGAGAGCCGGATCTCTGGGGCTCGATCCCAGGACCCTGGGATCATGACCTGAGCCAAAGGCAGAGGCTTTAACCCTCTGAGCCCCTCAGGTGCCCCAGTACCATAGGATTTTTAAACCTCACCAGAATAATTATATAGGTTTGTCTTCAGTTTTAAATTTTTTGCTAGTTGATGGTTTTTACCTTAAGGCACAGTATACACATAGGACAAGGTTAGTGTGTGTAAATTCGTATTTCAAATGGTGGTGTTGATATGTTTTTGAGTTTGTTTGTTTTTGTCCACTTGTCAGATCAGATGACGTTATCTTTTTTTTTTTCCTTTAACCCTGTAATGTGAATGATGTAGGGAGAAGGTGAAGTGCTTGTGTGAAGTTCTTGCTTGTTTCTCTATTTTCTGTCTACCTTCTCTTTATGTATTGTTATTTTGCAAAACCCTTTTTAAGCTACCACTTGTGCATTTTGTTGGGATTGTTTTGGTGTTACAACTAGGCAGTTTGCTTAACTGGGTGATCAGAATTAGCTGTATTTCACAGTATGCTGAAATTTAAAAAACGAGTGAGGGCCCAGCTCTCCTGCTTTTCTGCAGCGTGGAGCTGTCTGCTTTTAAGGTAGCATCCAGGGCATACTGTACCTGTCATATGGATAAATGACAGTTTGTCACTGCCTGTCTTTAAGTTAGTTCAGCAGTTTTTCTGAATCCTTAAATAAAAATGGAAGATCCAATATTTACTTTCTATACCATTGTGGTTCATTTTAGGGGCATCCTACTTGGAGATAACTGGCATATAGGGCTTTAAGAATTTATTAGGCCTAATGTAGAAAGCACAGTTTTGTTTTGTTTTTTAATTAATGTGGAAATCTGTCCATAGATCTTTAAATTTTTCTTTCACTATTTGGGAAAGATTTTATTTTCAAATAATTTCTACACACAATGTGGGTCTCAAACTCAACCCCAAGATCAAGAGGCACATGCTTCACCTGAGCCAGGCACCCCTCCTTTTTACTTTGTGTCTGAGTTTTACCCTATTAAAAAATAGCTTATATAAAATTATTACTGTGCTATATAGACACTATAGCAAGGTATTAAATTTTTTTTTAATGTTTTTGTTTAAAGCAAGAATATGATTTGGATTCTAAGTTCATTAGCCCAAGCAGAAAAAAAAAATTTTTTTCAGAAAATATTTTCTAATCATAACTAGGAACTTTGCTTTCTATTCATGCTTTTTTTTTTATTTTTTATTTTTTTTTCTATTCATGCTTTTAAAAAAAAATTTTTTATTATTTAAAAAAATTTTTTTTAAAGATTTTATTTATTTATTTGACAGAGAGGGATCACAAGTAGACAGAGAGAGGGGAAAAGCAGGCTCCCCGCCAAGCAGAGAGCACGATGCAGGGCTTGATCCCACAACCCTGAGATCATGACCTAAGCCGAAGGCAGAGGCTCAACCCACTGAGCCACCCAGGTGCCCCTGTTCATGCATATTTTAAAACTAGTATTTCCATTTGACTTGTCTCTTTAGAATGATTCATAAGTATTCCTTTTACTTGCTTGAATCAAGCACATACAGGTGACCTCATGAAAAACATGGGTTTGAACTGAGCAGGTCTACTTATAGATTTCTTATGGTTCATTACTGTAAATGTATTTTCTCTTCCTTATGCTTTTAATAACGTTTTCTTTTCTCTAGCTTACTTGAAAAGTGCAGTATATGTATACATATAATATAGATAATATGTGTTAATTGACTATGTTATTCATATTGTGGTCAACAGTAGGCTATTAGTAGTTAGGCTTTGGGGAGGCAGAAGTTCTCTGTGGATTTTTGACTGTGCTGGGGGTTGGCATCCCTAACTCCTCTGTTGTTCAAGGGTCATCAGTATTTAGATCATTCTCCCAGAACAATCTGAAGAAAGTTTCTTCAGTTCTGGCACCTTGTTACTTTAAACTGGCTTTTAACTAATAGCTGCATTAAGCTCTTTTTCTAACCACAAGATGTAGTAACTTTCATTTCTACTGCAGATGAAGAAGGAGAAAATCATGGCCATGACGTAACGGCTACCCAATTAGATCCTTTCTCAACAAACTCACTGGGAAGTGAGAATTTTGCTTCTGAGTCAAGTAGAAGCCTAACAGAAGAACAACAACAGAGAATTGAGAGAAATAAACAACTGGCCTTGGAAAGAAGGCAGGCAAAGCTATTGAGTAATAGTCAGTCCCTTGGAAATGGTAAATTTTATGCTGGGTTTTATGTGCTACCATTACTATATCAAGGGCATGTTAGAAATTTTAACTTTTCTACTATCCTCAAGATAAAATGCCTCTAGGAATAGGAAAATCTGATGTATTAAGTTAAAATATATTTGAGAAAGAGCACACGCGTGTGTCTGTGTGTGTGTGTATGTGAGCTATCTGGAATCCTCAAAGAATAAATGAGTCTAAGATAGTTTTCTGGATAGCTGGGGACTGCTTTAAAAATTATTTTAATCCCTTCAACTTGATTCTGAATCTTTCTTCTTCCCTGACTCCTTAAAGTATGTGGCACGTATTTTATATTTATTTTTTAAGATTTTATTTAAGACATTTTTATTTATTTATTTGACAAAGATCATAAGTAGGCAGAGAGAGAGGAGGAATCAGGCTCCCTGCTGAGGAGAAAGCCCGATGCGGGGCTGGATCCCAGGACCTGAGCTGAAGGCAGAGGCTTCAACCCACTGAGCCACCCAGGCGCCCCCTTTTTCTTTTTTTTTTTTTTTAAGATTTTATTTATTTATTTGACAGACAGAGATCACAAGTAGGCAGAGAGGCAGACAGAGAGAGAGAGAGGAGGAAGCAGGCTCCCCGCTGAGCAGAGAGCCTGATGCAGAGCTCCATCCCAGGACCCTGAGATCATGACCTGAGCCGAAGGCAGAGGTTTTAACCCACTGAGCCACTCAGGTGCCCCACCCCCCTTTTTAAAGATTTTAAAAATTTATTTGAGAGAGAGAACACAAGGAGGGGAGGGGCAGGAAGAGAAATAGGCTTCCTGCTGTGACTCGGGGCTGGATCCCAGGACCCTAGGATCATGACCTGAGCCAAAGGGAGATACTTAACCAACTGAGCCACCCAGGGACCCCATATTTTATCTTTAGGATCATAATTTTGAACATTAATTATTATGGTACTTTTCTAAACCTATAAAATGCCTTCTGCACCTTTTGAGGATTTTAGAGCCATTTGCTGTGACTTAAATAGGTCCTTAATTTTTATTGTACTGTGTCACTTAGCTGTCAGTTTGCTTATCTGATGCATTCTCTTCTCTTTTTAAAACTGTTAAAATTTGCTGTTTTTAAACAGACTGTGAGTTTGGAAACTAGACAAGATTATTAAAACTACATTTAAAAATAATCCAGATTGGTTTTGAGTGAAGCAAACTGCATGTGTCTTTCTCCATTTCCAATGTAGTTTTCCTTTTGAAATGGAAAAATAAGAATTATGGTTAAATAGTGAAGATACCATGTTATAAAACAAGTTTCACCCAAGATATTATGAAATTCACAAGTGAAAATTAATGTGACTACATTGTTATTCTTTCCAATTAAAATGAATTTAATCTTCAGCTTTACAAATGGGTATTTTATTACTACCAGGTGAAAAATGACATGAAGATCCAACTATCATTGATGGCAGTTCCTTTGCTGTCATTATCAAAGTATACCTGGCAATAAGCATTTTAAGTCCCTTTTTTTTTTTTTTTAAGATTTTTATTTATTTATTTGACAGAGATCACAAGCAGGCAGAGAGGCAGGCAGAGAGAGAGGAAGGGAAGCAGGCTCCCTGCTGAGCAGAGAGCCCGATGCGGGGCTCCATCCCAAGACCCTGGGATCATGACCTGAGCCGAAGGCAGAGGTTTAACCCACTGAGCCACCCAGGTGCCCCTAAGGCCCATCTTCTATTTATAATGTATGACTTTAAAATTTGCCCAAAAAGAAATAAGGATCCTAAATTTTCTTTGCTAGAGATCACTTTGATGTATAGCTGTTAAGAGCACTTGATTTTTAAAAATTTTTGTCTAATAGCTGCAATTTTTGAAAGAAAACAGTTGCATTTAGGTACAATTCAAGAGTTTGAGCTTGGTACCTTTCAAGACTTGCATTTTTGAATGAACTTTATACATCTATACAAGTGACTATTGGAAGGAAGTGATCACAGATTTCATTTCCACTGAGATAAGTTTGTGGAGAGATTTGTATTTATCAGGTAAGATTGGATCAGGTGCTTATAATGAGTAATAATGATGATTTCTCCTTTAGACTTGTTAATAAACACACAGACCACTGAAGAGGTTAATACAGATGAGGATCAAGAGGAGTCATTGGATGGATTTAACAAAGACATTGTAGAGAGTCCACATGCTGCTGCTGCTGCTGCTAATACTGTAAGTGAAGAGGACGAATTAAAGACAGAGACAACACAACTGGACCATTCCTTTTAAAATGTATTTTAAAAGTCATTAACTTTATGCTTTCTCCAGAACTGTTACTGAGATTGGATAGGCTTCAACTAAGAGAAAATCTATTAACTTCTTACCCTCTGAGTTTTAGATTAGTATATATTTTGTCTACTTGGAGTGAAAATACTTATGTAGTAAGACTTTCACAGATTCCTGTTTAAATATTGTATTATTTGTATTTATACTTGTTTCTTTAGTTGAGCCTATTTATTTAGTGTTTATTTTTATATAGGTGTGACTTTATAAAAGTTATTAGTAGTTAAGAAGCACCTTCTGCTCCTAGAGTGCCACTGAATGTCGTTTTCACTAAATTGGGGATTTTGAGATGTAAATGTATAATAAATATTAATGTCCATTAAAAAAAAAGAAATCTTATAGACTGTCTCTAGAGGCTTTATGAAAGTTTCTTATTGCTATTTAGTTCTGCAATTTACACTTTTGGTAAAATGTTTAAGGTTTCTGTATGTGTTTACATGTGTTTGGAGAAACTTAATACTTAAAAGGGTCACCTGAAAGGCAGCTGTATTGCCTGGCCTGCATCTGTCCATTCTAGGGGAGTTCAGATGCTCCTTGGTACCTTACCGACAAGTGGGAGAAACTTGCAAAGCATTATGGGGAACACAGAACACCTAGGAGGATCCACACAAGACTGGGAAGGACATGTTCAATAATGATACAGAAATGGAAATCCTAGGAAATATGAAAGACTTGGGAATGGCAAATACAAGCTTAGAAGTATTAGGGCCAGATGGTGAGAAGATCTCATTGGAGTTTTTCCTGCCTGAGTTTATCAGCCTGGTGGAGGAGTGAATTACAGATGAAGTGACACGTTAACAACTGAGTTTAAAGGTCTGTCTAGTTCATGGCAGATTCCGATGGGCAACAAGGAAAGGCAAAGCTAGTTTTTACAAACTAGGAGATGGGAAGGTTGCTTTTTTTCCTTAAAAGATTTCATTTTTTAAGGTAATCTCTAGACACACGTGGGGCTCAAACTTAAAACCCTGAGATCCAGAGTTGCATGTTTCACCAACCGAGCCAGCCAGGTGCCACAGGAAGGCTGCTCTGTGTGTGTGAGACTGGCACAGTGATGCTGCTGAAGTGGCTTTTATCTCTGAAGTGGGGATACGCAGGCTTCTTAATCCTGTCGAGTCTGCTGACTTCTGCTGGTGATGGAGGGTGACAAGGATGGTTGGGCTGAAAACCAGAAGTTAAGCACAAGAACATATGGGCTGGGGTGAGGGGGCCTCTGGCTGGCTGGGGACTGGCCTGGTGGAGGACTAAAAGTTTTTTTTCCAGCAGTGGGATACACTGGCAAAGTAACAAGTCTTCCACAAGGGCAAGGCCAATGCAGCTCCATCCAAGGAGTACTCAGAAAAATGAGAGGGTGGAAAGGGGAAGTTTGAGGAAACAGACCTTACCTCTGCCCTCCACCCCATTCCCTGTGCTTTATCCCCAACTGGTATGGGGACAGCAGGGGACGTTTGAGTCACATGAAATAGGAGTTTTAAAGTTGAGTAGGTGGACAGAACTAAGTCTTACCTGAAGACAACCTGAAAAGTTAATCTGAAAGCTGTCGGAGGGGCCTAGGATCCAAATGGCCCAGAGTAGCTGTTATTAGAAAAATTAAGTTATTTTGGAAGAATGGATTTGAGATAAGCTAATCAAAAATCAATTCTGGATTTATTAAAGAGACTGACAATCTGACTGTAGAGTCACCCATCATGATCTATCCACTTCTGAAAAATCAGTTTCCACAGGGACCTAACTGCTCTTTAATGAAGCTCTAATTAATGATGAGAAAATGTTCTGCGTCTTGGTGAACTATCGACTGAATCCCAAATGACTAGAACATTAGGTGACAAAGAACATTAGATGTTAATGTAAAAAAGAAGGTTGAAAGTGTTCACAAAACAGTTCTTTTAATGAAGCAAAAAGAATATTTCACATTCCATAACTGTTGGAAACATCCAGGAGAGCAAGGTCCCTTATCTCCTCCAGGAGTGTGTATAGGCTTCTTCCCTTTGTTTGACAGTATTTCTGATAATCTTCCTGAATGACGTTTACTTTGACTTCTTGGGCAAGCTGAGCCTCCTCCACAGATCTAGTTACTTCCTTCACTAAATCGCTCTTTAACAGGAGGGAGCTCTGCTGAAAAAGGTCTTTATCTGGTATCAGGTATGGTTTATTGCTTATTATTTCAAGCCTGACTGTATCAGAATGGCAACGGGAGGCCTGTACGGATATTCTCACCTATCACAGAGGAGAAAAGGCATGTTACCAAATCTCATTCTTCATACACGACATTGAAAGCAAGGCTTAATGTAAATATGGACTTACTGTTACATGGTCAAACAAATGGAACGTAACAGACTCCCCGCTTGTTGTGGTAGAGGTGATTTTGTTTTGAAATCGTTGAAGGGATCCTGGTTTCCATTCAGAACGGCTGTCTGAGCCACACGAGATCACCAAACCATCTTTATTTCTTAGATAAGCGGCACCTTTAATTCCAAACCTGAATCATTGCCAGAATAAAAATCCAGAGATAATGTATTCTCAGTATACAAATCTTGTACCCTCAATCTAGAATGCTAGTTTTTATTCTAGATTAAAACCAACTTTTCCTCTCACCTCCAAATATTTCACTGAGCAGGTGGAAAACTATTTTGCTAAATAAGGAAGTAAAATCCTTTCTTAACACTAATACAGATGTACTAGATGCTAATCTCCTTTTATAATTTTTTTTTTAAGTAGGAGCCCAACATAGGGCCTGAACGCAGGACCCTAAGATCACAACCTGAGCTGGGATCGAGTCGGATGCTTAACTGACTGAGCCATCCAGGTGCCCCTCCTTTTATACTTTTATAGTGCATTATTCTCTTACAGTACGTACATCTGTACCTACAAATAGTTGTTATATTTTAACAAGTTACATCTGACACAGACTTTGTGTTCTACACTAATTTAACTGTAATTTCTTTTTTTTTTTTAAGATCTTATTTGATAGAGACCATGAGCACAGCGGGGGTAACGGCACAGGGAGAGGGACAAGCACACTCCTGGCTGAGTAGGAAGCCCAACTCGGGGCTCGATCCCAGGACCCTGAGATCATGACACAAACTGAAGGCAGATATTTAAACCCACTGAGCCAGCCAGGTGCCTCTATTATAACTATGATTTCTTAACAACTATTATGTTAGATGTAACATACCTTGGTATAAATACGAGTACGCCATTTGTTCTAATTGAATATATAACCCCATCAGATATGCAACGCGCCTCATTCTCTGGGTCTTTGTCTTTAAAATACATGCACTGGAAGAGCTCCGTGGATTGCTTCTGAGAATGCTGGGCTGCCTGGAAGAAGCAGCACAACCCAAAGCAGGCTAAAACACCAGGACATCCCCAGGGGAAACGCAGAATTCATACTCACACAGAAACGAGGTCTTTAAAAAGGCTGGACTTACTAAAGTATTATTAAGTATTAATACAAATATTCTTCCCTATCATGAATTCAATCAGTTTTGTGGGAACCTAACCATCCAACAAACATTGCCTAAAAATGTCCTTTAGAAAATTAATTCTTTAAGAAAATAACATGTGACTTAGACTCTGTTTACAGTTCATTCAGGTAAAGGAAAGTATCTGAATCCATGCCTCCCCTTCATTTTGTCTGTCCTACCACAATCGTGCTGGTGCCAAGTATAAATTAGTACTGCTATCCCGGAGGGCAATTTGGTCATATGCACCGAAGATTTACTTGTGCACACCTTCTGAGTCAGCAATCCGGGCAACTGTCTGAGAAGTCGGTAAGGTGTATATACAAGGAGGGATGTCAACTGGATTGCCCAGGACAACAGCGCTGCCCAACAGAATCTGGGCAGAACGGAACACTAGCCTACATGGCTAGTGACTATAATACTGCATAGCAGTGAACTAGAATACAAGGAACAAAAATTGTATTAAATACTGAGGTAGTTTCCAATTTTTCTGTATCACCAAATGCTCTCTTCTGTGTTGTACAATATTGTAGCCATTAGCCAACAACAGGAAATAAAATACAAAGCAGCTTCTAAAAGAAACCTGTCATTACTCTGAGGTGGTATTGTCAGTAACAGATGTATCAAGTGCAAAAGATTTCAGAGAGCAGGTATGCTACCCTATTTGTCATAAATAAAAATCACGGTCTGGAATAGTGAATAATGGCTATCTTGGGGTGGGGAGATGATGCGTGGTCTTTTACAGTCCTGTTTTGGGAAAAACATCTGACCTATTGTCAAATCTCCTAAACCCACATTAAGTGACTTTGTAACATCTGTAAATATTGAGAGCAACACAAAAGACATTACAATTTTTCACCTTATTTCCTAGGGTAGAATAATGCTAGGATTTTATGTGCTAGACTATATGGCCCTTCATTCCATCACAAAATAAAGCTGATACTCTCTAAGCAAAAGAGACGATGGAAGAGAATTTAAAATCCCTTCTTACTCGGTTTCTGTTGTTGATATGTCTGCATAATTCCTCAAGATCTTTGTTGCTGAGCAAATTGTCCTTAATTTCCATTTTCTTATCTTTTGAAATGGCTGCCATCAGCAATCGGTGTACTACGATATCTGAGTATCTTCTTATCGGAGACGTAAAGTGAGTATATTTATCTAATGCAAGGCCTTCAAAAAGAAACCAAAAGATGGAAATCAACGACAACAAAAATACTTTTTAAATGACCTGCTCAAGGTTATGGCCACACAAAAGAATGCTATCATTCACCATAATGATGGAATTCTTCCTCCGCACACGACCCAGTAGAGAAATACAGTGCATTAGACATGGCCTGTGTGGCCATGGATCGCAGCAATCTGTTTACGATGGGATCGTTGGGGTCATTCGCATTATCCAGAGAATCAGCCAGTGTTTTATTGGACCTGACAAAAAAACCCGAAAGACCTTTATTTAGTCCCTAGCAACAATGTACAAGTCAATACTCTAAGGGCAATCTTTCATTCTGAAGAAATTTTATTTTGGATACGTTTTAGATGCAACGCTTTTCAACTACAGAAATCTAGTCTGCTTTTAAGGTTGAAACTAAGAAAGTGTATAATTTTAAATAATATTTCCAAAGTAGTTAAGAACCATGTACTGATACCTATGTGGTTAGGTTAATGCCCAGCACATAGTAGGTGTCAAATACTTTTGTGGAACTGAATTCCTAATACACTTAATGTGAAACATCCCTTACAGATCAAAGAATGGACTTTTTGAAAATTAAGAATTACTGAGCCAGGGACACCTAGGTGGCTCAGTGGCTTAAAGCCTCTGATTTCAGCTCAGGTCATGATCCCAGGGTCCTGGGATTGAGCCCCACATTGGGTTCTCTGCTTGGCAGGGAGCCTGCTTCCTCCTCTCTCTCTGCCTGCCTCTCTGCCTACTTGTGATCTCCGTCAAATAAATGAAGAAAATCTTAAAAAAAAAAGAAAAAGAATTACTGAGCCAGAGGGACTTAAAAAACAGAACTAAACCAAACCTGAGGTGCAGTCCCTTTTTTTTTTTTTTTTAAGAGAAAGGGACAGGGAATATTGCTTATTTACTCAAATAATCTTTAAAACCCAGAAATAAAGAATATTAAAAATGAAACTAACGGGTGCCCGGGTGGCTCAGTCGTTAAGTGTCTGCCTTCAGCTCAGGTCATGATCCCAGGGTCCTGGGATCAAGCCCTGCATCAGGTTCCCTGCTCGGTGGGGAGCCTGCTTCTCCCTCTCCCACTCCCTCTGCTTGTATTCTCTTTCTCACTGTGTCTCTATCAAATAAATAAATAAAATCTTTTTTTTTTTTTAAAGATTTTATTTATTTATTTGACAGAGAGAGATCACAGGTAGACGGGGGGGAGGGGGAAGCAGGCTCCCCGCTGAGCAGAGAGCCCGATGCGGGGCTCGATCCCAGGACGCTGGGATCACGACCTGAGCCAAAAGCAGAGGCTTTTAACCCACTGAGCCACCCAGGTGCCCCAATAAATAAAATCTTTAAAAAAAAAAAAAAAAGTCACATTGCTCTACTGAGCCAACCCCTGTACAGCATTTTCTTTTTTTTAAAGATTTTTTTTTTAAATTTATTTATTTGACAGACAGAGATCACAAGTAGGCAGAGAGGCAGGCAGAGAGAGAGGAGGAAGCAGGCTCCCCGCTGAGCAGAGAGCCTGATGCGGGGCTCGATCCCAGGACCCTGGGATCATGACCTGAGCCGAAGGCAGAGGCTTCAACCCACTGAGCCACCCAGGCGCCCCTGTACAGCATTTTCAATAGGGAAAATCTTTTCTTCTGGAGGAGGGGCAGATAAAAATGTCTCATTCTATGAAGGGATGGTATACATTTATCTTTGGTGTGGTATTTTAGGATGTTGCCTCAAAGATAAGTTGCATTTTTACAGCACTGAAATAAACAGGATTACTTCTTGGTATTTGCCAAAGGGGTCTATGAAATTACACCAGGAGTAACGGGTCCCTTACTTCTGCATCACAAATTGTAGTGGATCAAAATTATGCCTAAATAAACTTCTTTTAATTTTAATCTCTATACCTACATTGTAGTAAATGAAGAGAGCCAAGAAGTTTTCTATTTTTGGTCAAAGATCTGGCTGTCCCATTTTAGGAACTACTATAAGATAAATAAGTGTACAGCACTCCCTCCATTCCTCTGCCCCCTCAAGAGAGGAGTTACCGTGTATCTATGAAGAAGCCTTTTGCTTTAGCACATTCTCGCAGTTCAGAAAAAAACTCCTGCTGTGGAGGAGGGTGTTGGCGCAACAAGGCCTGATGAGGGAAACTCTCCCAGATCTTCTTGGCTACCCAGTGGTTGGCCAAGATCATGCATTCAGCCACCGTCTCGTGGACTTCCAGGGGCTGCCTGGGGATGAGGTCATGGATGTTCTTTTTTTCATCCAGCTGAACACGAATCTCTACCCCCTCTAATTCCAGGGCTCCGCAATGGTCTCGCTTAGCCCGGATGTGGCGTGCTATTTCAGTCAACTTTCCAATGGCCCACACCAACTCCTCTAGCTTGGCTTGTCTGCTCTTCTCATCCAAGTCTCTGAATTCTGGAATATCATCAACAATGTGGAAGTTTCCGTCCAGCAGTTCCTGGGCTGCTTCATAAAACAGTTTGTATGCTGATCGAATAATGGTTCTGCCGTACCACACTGTCTTAATTTCATAGGAGGTTTTATCCAATTCCCATATGACACTTACGGCATACCTATAAAACCAGTAACACTGACATCATTATTCAATTCTTCCATTTTTGAAGCACGTAGAATAGACCCTAAATGTAACTTAAAAGAAATGATAATGCTACAGGTTTTTGGACCAATGTCTCAATTCAAACACTCCACTATTAACTCAAAAATTATTTAAAATTAAAACAACAAAGTTAGTCTAGGTTCTGCTGAGCTCTGAGCAAATCTGAAACGAGTTCACATGTAATGTTACAATGTTCTCCATTTTGATTAGACTAGGGTACACTGAGAGAGTCAAGTCTGGTAGGCTTGCTAGTAAAGAAGAAAGCCTTTCAAATCCTACAGAATAACAATGAACTATCATATCACTCTCAATGGAGGGTTAATTAGCAAAAAAAGTTAACTTAATAAAGACCCACTTTACCATCACTCTGTTTAAAAACACATGCAACATTTGCACCTCATATAAAAACAAAGAGCTAATTTTCCTAATATGTAAAGAATTCTAACAAATCAATAACAAACAGATGGAGAGCACAAAAAGAAAGGAACGGAACCTGAAAGAGTTCCTTTTATAGAAACAGAAAAGAATACATACATACATGAGTGTTAAATATACACAATAATGTTTAACCTTATTCATAATAGGAAAAGTGCAAATTAAAACCACCTAAGTAAGATACCATTTTCATCTCAAATTGGCAAAGATAAAAAAAAAAAAATACAACATATTGTGTTGGTAAGGCTGTTGGGGAACAAGCATTCTCATACATCAGTGGTGGGAATATAACTCGTGTAATCTTTATGGAGGGCAATCTGATTACATCTATCTAAACACAAATGCATTTACCCTTTGACACAGAAATGCCACTTCTAGGAATTTATCTGTCAGTTATACTCTACTTTTAAAAATATGAAATGACTTATGTTCCATGTAATTTAGTACAGTTTTGTTTGTAATAGCCAAAGACTGAGAACAATCCAAATTTCCATAGACAAGCAACTGTTACTAATACGGAATGATCGACAAGCTACACTGTTAAGAGAAATAAAAAGCAAGCAGCTGAACAGCATCCATACATATAAGTCACAATCTGTGTATGAGAGAGAGACCACATGTCTACATTTGTGTGTATATGCACTATATCCAGAAAAATACATAAAAACTTGGTACTGAGGGAAAGTGACAGGAGGGGAGCGTTTCATGAAATATCTTTTGGAACCTATAAATTTTGGACTATATGGTTTTATTATGTATTCAAAGACAGATATAAATGTTAACTACCACAAATAAAAGACTCCCTAAGTTCATGGTCCTCATACAAAACAGCCTCAGCCAGGGAATATATATGCACAAAGTCATCCACGTTTGTTCCTAGCCTTTAGCTGAGTTTTAAAAAGCCAACAACAGGGGGAGAAGCAGCCCCACACCTAGACATACAGAAAAGACGACAGGAAGGGCAGGGAAGTCTAGAGAAATAAAACCGCCTACAAATGAGTGGCGCTCTAGAGGGCACAGGGGAAAAACGGAGGTAGGGAACAGGGGGCAGAGCGTATTCAAAAGAAGAGAAGAAAGAGACCAGAAGCAAAGTACTGGGCAGCACAGAAGAGCCAAGACAAGCCCTGATGATTGAAGAAAAAAAATCATGAACAAACTCACCTATCAACGCCTCCCAGAAGGGAGCACAGATCAGCGCTGAGGATGGAGGGCAGCATGTCATAGCGACGGTCCGCTAAATAGTAAGTGATGGCCCTGTGAACGACACATACATGGGTGTGTGACCTTCAGCTGGCCGCAGGGGCCGTGGGGAGGGAAACCGCCAAGTCCGCAGTGCAAATCCCCCAAGGCTGTTGTTTTTTCATAAAGCGCAGCAGACTGGGTAATGGAGCTATTCCCACATTCCCACTTTTCTAAGGGAGACTGCCTTGGGCTGAATATTTTTCCACTGATATAGAAAAGAAAGAAAAAGTGACATGAATCTTAGCTAAGAAAAATTAGAGTGTAATGAGCCGGTATTTATAGGAAAGAGTATCCATCCAGGAAAAATTTAACTCATTGCAATTTGGAAGGAAAGTGGGTTTGAAAAGGTTCTGTTGAAAAAAAAAAAAAAAAAAAAAGGAAAGGTAAATTGATCAAGGAACTATTTCTCTATAGGGAAAGAGGAAGTGGACCTCCATTTTTTCCCTTTTTTTCTAGAAGGGATTTGCAGAATTGCACAAAACTGGGAAATCTTTGGTTTGAGACTCTGAAAATAGGGAGTTATGAACTAGGTGAGGGTCCCAAATATGAACTCACACCGCTGGTCTCAAAATGCATTACCTTGTCCTAGCTTCGATGTCGATGTAAGAATTTGGTGGCACAAAGTGCGTTACGTCTGCAATGTGGACCCCAAGTTCCAAGTTGCCGTTAGCTAAGGTTCTGACTGAGAGCGTGTCGTCCACATCTTCACAGCCTTTTGGGTCAATGCTGAACACGAGATGGGTTTCCCTCAAGTCTTTCCGTTCTCGTTCCTCTTCTGGACTCACCTTCCAGGGATTTTCTGGTGTGTTGACTGGCATTTCACACATCTGTATGATGACAGTCAGATATTCACCAATTCTCGCACCACAAGCTTCCTATGAAACTCTGCTCTGGAACATTCTCACTGCAGTCTCACAGAAATCCCATTCATTCCCTGTTACCTTTTGCAATTAACCCATTTACTTCTTTTGATTGATAATTATTTATTAGGTGCCTAATGTGTGTCAGGAACTGTGCTAGGCTCTGGAAAGGTCAGGAGCCAATAGGAAAGATACAGTCCCCTGTCTTTGAGGATGCTTACAGTCTGCCCGCTTCCAGCAGCTTCTTTAGTTATGCAGGCCAGAACAAGGATGAATGGTGGCTTAGAAAGAGTGCAACCTCTTGCCCACTTTCAAATGATCCACTTTTTAAATGCAGTGGAGCTTTTAATTCAAGTCAAGCTCTGAAAAAAAACCTCAACATGTCCCAAGTACTAAAAGCCTGTTCCTTAAAGATAATTTAAGTAGGACCAATCTAGGGCACTTTCTCTCTATTATTACCTGTTTAGGCCATCAATTTGCAGTTAAGTAGGCTACGCGGAAAGAGAAAATTCTAGTCCTATGAAGTCTACCCCATGCTTTATTTTATTCTAACATTTTCACTAAGAGCTGTCAAAACAAGTCAACAAATAATTTCCAGAAACTAATGTTAAGCATAAAAATTTAATAATGTAAAATATCCTAAAATATTTTACTATTATAGCTCCTGTTCTGTCAAAGACTATAATGAAAATAAGAACACCCATACGTTCTTGATGGCAATGCAAACTGGTCCAATTTTTCTGGAGAATAATCTGCCGATACAAATAAAAGCCACTTAAATTTTTTATGCCCTTTGACTTGGTAATCTTACTTTAAGGATTATATCCCAAGAAAAATGATGTAAAAGAAAAAAAAAGCAATATTTAGAAAAATGTCTGAAGTGGCATTTCTTCTACTACTGAAAAATTAAACAGCCCCATGCCCAAAAACTAAGGAAGACTTAAGCAGAGTACACTGATATGCGATAATTTGCCATTAACTAGGAAGACACAGCTGTATCAATACACAGAAATAGTCGGAAGTGAAAGAAGCAGAACAGAAAATAGCACAGGCACACTATGGATCTAGTTATGCAAGAATGATAAACAAGATCTACGAGGATTGTAAAAGATCATAAAGTGATGAACATAGCTAATGTTTTAGGTTTATTGAATGTGTGTTTTCTGCAAAGGTTACAAAAACTGTTTCGTGAGCATGACTTGGTGACCCGCAGGTCAGAGATGTATGGGATCCCAGAAGCTACTCCCCGTGGCTCTGTGCAGGCCTGTGGGTGAGTGATTAGGATGGGGAGTGGAACCCAGTAGGGTCTGTAACCAGGCACCTTTGCAGCTGGGGACGATGAATGTATAGTGACAATAAGCCACTGACATACCATTTTTAAGCACAGTTGGAAAATGTAAAAATTTGAGAGCTGTGAGGCTCTGGGAAACTATGCACTTGAAGCTGACTTCAGTCTGGTCCACACACAGAACAGAGAGGAGTGAGCTGCTTCCATTATCTGTGACTTTCGTGAGTGGTAACTCAGTACAGAGATTTTTCTTCTTAACAATGAAACAAACAATAAACAAATGCAAAAAGAAACTGTACAGAAGTCTTTCACCAGACCAAAGGACTCCGGGAAACCAGACCTGAGCTTCGGAGAAAGGGACAACCGAAATGCTGTTTTCCACCAGGATGGTCGCGATTTCCCCTTCCAGGTCCCCGATTCTGCCTAAAACACGCACAAAATGTCCATTTGGGTACAGGGATGTCGACTCCCAGGAATCGATGCGCACAATCACCCGGAAGTCCTGCGCAAAAAGAGAAAAGAAACCCCACCAGCCCAGCTCCAGGAATTAAGTGGGTCAGTCAAAGGCACCAGACACACAAGATACACAGCGTCAAGCTCCAAAGAGAGTGGCCGACTGAACAGTGGGCTTTGCTTTTTGTTTTGGTTCTTGCTGTTTTACTAAACTGCCAGATGGTTATGAAGTACTCAGCCCAAGGCTTTGGAAGGAGGCAATACCCTTCTACATCCAATAAGGAGGCTGCAAACATCTGTTAAAGAAAGCCAACTGCGACACATTCTAGTTAATATTTGCAACACAAAAGAAAACCCCATGGTGCATAGTACAAATTCCGTTTCAAAACAAAAATCTTCAATTTTGCCAGCGTGGGAGTTACTTTCTACTCTGTCTGAAGTGACTTTCTAAGTTTCATGGGCATCTTTCGGTGGGGAGGGAGGGGTCAGTGTGAACTGAACCCCACCGCCCCCAAGTTCCAGCAAACCAGCGAGGGCTGCAAGAAGCCTCCGACAGCCCACAGAAGGCCTCCAGGGATGCGAAGGGTGCACCAAGACCCAGTTACTGGCTGGGGACGTCCGGCTACGAGGTCTCATTTACAAACTGCAGAACATCAGGCAAATGAAACTGGGCCATGCCTGTGCTTTTTGCCACAGTAAAGGTTAATTTCTAACTTCCTTGTTTATATCTTCCCTCCAGTGCTATATTCCTTTATAGATAATCAATTTGGTCAAGTACCACTAGATCATCCCTACAGGGAAGAGAGATCGTATTTCTGTATCGCTGGCTGGAAGAAACCTTGTTAGTGTTGGCAAAGCATATCTATTGAAAGTTTCTGTGTTGGACAGCCAGATAATGTATGGACTCTGTAGCTGTCCTACACGGCTCTTTCTAGGACAGTTTCTCTCTGGCTTTCATTTATTAACCAAGGACTGCTGAACAGATGGATCTATATATTTAGAATTTTTAAAAAACAGGATCTCGAAATGCCAGATGCCATCAGTAATTCATCCCTTCTTATGCAAAGGCACTAACTGTGTTTCCTGGTGGAGTGGGAAGGCCGGCAAAGACAGGAGGAGAAGTACAATGGCAGCTACCTGTAGCGCTTCCGTTTGCTGAGTGCTGATGCGGATTTTGGGAATTCTGTTATCCCAAGGTGTAACTAGGATTTTCTGAGCATTTTTGCCCTGAGACTGGACCTCTTCTTTGGATGGAAATGTCACCACGTAATCCCGCCAGTTCTTCTGAAGGATGCCCACCACTTTGCCTTTGGGAAAAAACAAAACAAAACAAGGCCTTCGATGGTGAGATGTTACCTCTCTGGATGCGGACTCGTTCAGCAGTGAGGAAGGAAAACAGGAAACACAACGTTCCGTTTGTCTCAAGCACATCCACGCGAGTTGAGAGATGCTTAAACATTCACCTTCCTGGCGTTTTTACTGTTAAGATGGCTAATTTTTTGAAAAACAGATCTTTTTTTTTTTAATAACATCATCAATTTGCCCTTTCTGTTGTGGGATCTGATGTGACACTTAGCATCCATTAGTCCCACTTTCCACTTTCTCTTTTGCCCTTCCCTTATCAATCTCAGGGTGAGGGTGTCAGGAAAAGCCAGTGATTTTTATTTATTTATTTTTTAACTTATGCCCTCTCTTGTGCATTTTCACTGTCTTGCATTTTCCCACCAGCCAAGATCATTTGGGCCAACACTGCATACAGTGAAGTCTGCACAAATTGTTAACTCTCATATACAACACTCCCCAGCATCACTGACTGAGGTCAAGAAAAAACAAACTTCAATAGTTAAAAGTGCTACCTATTAACTATTTAAGTATTGATTGACTCATTAAGCCCCTACCAGGTATGAGCCCTGTTCTAGGTGCAGGAAATGTAGCAGCATCAGAACAAAATCCTTGATTTTCCAGAGTGGATGTTCTAGTCTGGGTGTCCGTAGGGGTGGGAAACAGACAATAAAAAGTAAATACAGGAAAGGTAGCGATGTTTGCTAAGGAAGATACAAAACAGGATGCGGTGACCAAGAGTGACAAAGGGTCAGCAATGGCAGCTATTTTAAGGGAAGTGACAATCTGAGCAGAGTTGAAGTGAGGGAGGTTGGCGAGAGGAGGTTTGGGGAAATCCCGTTTTCAGTGGTGCAGAAGTCAAGATGGTCAATGTGGCAAGAGCAGTGATGATGAGGACAGTGACAGAAGGCAGCCCAAGCCAGTGGGACCCTGCAGGCCATGGTAAAGACTTTGGATTTTATTCTGAGAGAAACAGGAAGCAGTTACTGGAGAGCTTTGAGCAGAGACATGACAGGACCCAAAGCCCTTTAAAGGGACTCCTGTGGCTGGCTCCCATGTGGAGAAGAGGCCATTGGGAGCAAGGGAGGGAGCAGGGAAACCAGTGAGGGGGAGACTGGGTGACCACATCAAGGGGTTCTAGAAGACCCTATCAGGAGAGATCCAGCAAAGCGTGGGAGCCGCCACATTCAGTCCACATGGGACTCCCTTATGAGTGAGAAAAATGTGGAGGGTTATCCCTGGGCCTTTGGGTTGGCCACGCGTAGAACGAACCTGCCATTTATTGAGAGGGGGAAGACTTGGGGAGGAGCAGGTTTGGGGTTAGAAATCAGGAGTTTATTATCAGGCGTGTTAAGTAGGAGGTACCCATTGGACATTCCAGGGAAGATGCCAAACAGACAACTGAGGAGACGACACCAGAGGCCGAGCAGGGGTTCTGGGTTGGAGAAGCAGAGCAGGAGGAGTAGAGGACATTCAGCGAGCCGCCCAGGCACATCCCAGAGGTCCGCAAGATGGAGAAGCTCTAGCAAAGGGACCGAGAAGGAGCACCCAGCAGGGAAGGCAAAGCACCTAAAGCCAAAGATGACACAGCAATCTGTTGGCCAAATGCTGCCAAGGGTTACAGTGCCCGGGGCTGTAGGCAGTGAGGTCACTGGCGCCCTTGACAAGAGGTCAAGGGTTTCTGGGTGGTGGGGACACCTGAATGTAGCGGCTTCAGGAGACAATGAGTAGAGAGAACACAGTGGTAGTGGTCTCCCTGAGTCTTGCCACACACTGAAGCAGAGGAAAGGGCAGCAGCTGGATGGGATGAGGGACTTGAGAGGATTTTGAATTTTGTTCTATTCTAGGATGGGAAAAATGATGACTTATTTGGATGCTGAGGAGAATAACATCAATCAGCAGAGATGGGGAAATGGGTAATGGAGGAAAAGAAACGACAGCAAACCTTAATAACTGTGGTATTTCTAGATCGTTCGAGAGAGAACAAACAAACGTCCTACGGAATACCAGAAACCAAGAGGCCTGCCGGCGGGCTCACCTGTGGGCATGGGCTCACTCGGGGGGTCTCCCAAGGCCTTGTCATCACTGTCATTCTCACATAGGGCAGCCGTTCTTCCTTTCCATTCATTTTTAGGCAGGAGTTCCACAACTACCACATCTCCATGAATCGAGCGATTTCGAGCCTTCATTCCATGGACAAGGATGTCACTGACTAAACCTGTGTTTGGGCAGGCACACAGAGACCCCATAAAGCTGCGGGGGCATGCCACATGCAACACACTGGCCCTGCAGAGAAAAGCTTCCTCCTTCAAAGGGGAGGCCAAACTTTGTCCCACAGGTTAGGAATGAAGAAACACAGCCAACATGTCCTCTTACGCCACGTGCTTTTAGAAGGGCTTCCTCTGCCCATCTCTATGGCAGGTGACCATTCCCTGCACAAGCCTATGGAAGCCCACGCTGGAATTTTGTCAGGCCTACAGGGGCCATGCAGCCAGGGAGTGGCGAGCAGCCCAATGAACCACAGGCCCCACCTGACTCCTGAGCAGCAGCCAGCGGGAGAAGTTCTCCTTCTCCTCCCATCCAGCCATGTCCCCTCGACTTTCAGGGTGTTTGTACCCTGCCATTGAAGACCAGGACCTATATGCTATTATGATACAGCTCATTTACACATTTTCATTTTCATCACTTTTAAGATTATTCCAGTTAGGCCGCACTGGGCAGTGTCTTGAAATCACAGTGACACTGCCTCCACAGCACATCCAGTGTCCGCCTGCTCGCCAGGTGTGAGAACTCAGGCAAGCTACTTTGTTTCTCTCTATTACACTTTCCTCCCAGTAACCTTGTGGATCCTCAGGAAGAAAAGGGGCCAGACAATGATGGTATCTACTTTCAGTGCTTAGAACTGTGCCTGATGTAAAGTGGGTACTCAATAAAATTTAGCTCTTCTCATTTTTACAAATTGATTGCAATAAAATCAGAAACTAGGGATAAAACAGGAGGCGGGGGGGGGGGGGGGGGAAATCTGACCGGCATTTTCAATGCAACAGTTTCAGCTTTGTTTTCTTCACTGTGTAATACCAGAATAGAGATGAAGTACGGAAATTTAAGTAAGGCTTATACTGAACCTGAATCTTTACAGCTGGCTCCTTGAAGTCGAACGAAAGCTTCTATTTGTGCCCTGTGTTTGTTGACATTCAGGACTCCCTAAAATCATAATAAAAATCAATTGAAAAAATTTTTTTCTGCCCACTTTGCCTCCAAAGGTACAGTTTGCAAAAAGTGTGTGAAAATATCCCCAAAATATTCTTTTAAGGTCTGGGATCCCTTCCTTTAGGAGAAGTATTCATCAGTAATGTTTCTTTTCTCCAGAGAACATACCATCATTTTGAAGTATTCTTGGCTACACCAGGTGTTGAAAGTGCCAGGATCTATCTTACCTAAGTGATGAGTGGTCTTTAAAAAATTTTCTTCCTCAAACATCCTCCCTGGAATGCTGTAAACTTTACTACCCAGATGGAAGCATTAGCTGCTCTAGATACGCTCATTTAAAATACCCACCTAGGACGCCTAGGTGGCTTAGGCAGTTAAGCGTCTGACTCCCGATTTCCTGCTGGGTGTGGAGCCTCCTTACAATTCTCTCTCACGCTCTTCCTCTGCCTGCCCCTGCCCCACCCCCACGCTCTCTTAAAAAAAAAAAATAATAATAATAATTAAAATGCCCACGCTTTAGAGAAGGACTTCAGCGTGTTCTCAAACTTTGGACTACGTAAAAACTGAGCTGCTTGTCCAAAATGTCAGATTCACAATGTAACAGTTCTGTATCTTGATAGCGGCGGCAGTTACACAAATCTGCTGATGTAATCGAACTGCGCACGCACACATGTCAAACTGTCAAAATCTGAATAGTAATTTTACCCGATTTCTTCTCAAGATAGCTTGACAGCTTCCAGGTTCAGGGTTCTGGGTCCTGGAGGACTACAAAAGACTCCCTGAAAGGGGCAGGAGAATTGCAAAGGAGCAAAGAAGCCAAACTTCACCATTTTGTCAGATCTCCATACCTTGATTCAAAAACATCTTCTCTTTACAGAGACGTGGAGGCATTTACTAGGCTAATTGTGTGGCGCTCAATATCCAACCCGATTAAGATGAGAGAGTAGCACCAGACCAGACAACAAGGTGTCCACAGGAAGAACGACTCCCCAATCATCTTAGGACATGGACAGTCCTGGCTTACTCATGCCCATCTCGTTTATGGCCTTTGAAATTAAAGGCCCGTGACAGGCCAGTAAAGCAGAGAAGAAAACATGCCGGCTGGGCCAACGCCCTCGCTGCATGACGGCCCTCACCTGGATGTAGCGTCCAGATTTAATGCCGGCTTCTAACACTTCCAGGGGAAGATGTTCTGTGTATTCCTTCCCGTGGCTCTCCTGACTCTCGTTCTCTCTTTCCCGTCGAGACTGAAGGATAGAGTCATAGAGCTCGTGGGCGGCCTTTAAGTCGGGCCAAAAATTGTCCAGGTAATTCTGCATTTAATAAAGGCACAAGAGAAGCATGGTCAGAAGATAATGGTGCTGGGCTGCCTGGGTGGCTCAGTGGGTTAAAGCCTCTGCATTCAGCTCAGGTCATGATCTCAGGGTCCTGGGATCAAGTCCCACATCGGGCTCTCTGCTAGGCAAGGAGCCTGCTTCCTCCTCTCTCTCTCTCTCTCTCTCTCTACTTGTGATCTCTGTCAAATAAATAAAATCTTAAAAAAAAAAAAAAAGATAATGGTGCTGCCTTCCAGCAGGATCACAGAAAGTCTTGCACAGGGAACTGCGGGCGTGCGGGCTGGAGGGGGTGTTCGGTGAGCACTGCCTCCCCGAGCCTCACATTCCTGGAGATTTCTACCACCTCACTAATCCCCGAAGGGGGCCAAATTACCCCAATGAGGACCTTCCTACCATGGAATGCTTACTTTGCACTTCCGAATCACCTCCCCCCGCCCCCAGCGCACACACACGCACGCACGCACGCACAACTGTCCTTCCTTTCTTCCCATGCGTCTCACTGCTGCAGACAATGGCCTGCAATGAGAGGACAGCTCTTCTGTGTGCACTCTCCTGTTTTTTGTTTTTATTTTTTTCATCTTGAAATGTCTGAATTTCTAAGAAACTTAAATAAGCAAGTAAAAATAGAAAGGAGGGAAGTGTCTGTGGAAACGTTTCCCACCCCCCCCCACCCACTGGCTATGTCAAATAAGCAGAGAGGGGCAAAGTAAAGGCTTTCTATTCTTCTCAGGCCTTCTCCTAAGCTCCCAGAGTCTTGGTGACCATCGACAGATGTGATAACATTCCTCGGGTAGTCGTTGCTATTAGTTGTGATGACCTGGAACGAAATGTTATCTTTGAAACAAGCAGCCAGGGTCCCCTCCATGCAGACTTACTGAGTGTTACTGCACCTCTCGGTGTAATGTCTGTAAGAGAGACCCTTGATCAAACACCCAGCACCACCCACAAGAGGATGGTGTGTTGAGGCCAGCTGTGCTATGCCTGGAGTACACTCCCCCAAACGGCTGGCTCTCACTGAATAACATCAGTTTTACGGGTGTTTTTTAACTCAACTTTAAGGTAGAGTCTTCTAAGGTAGAGTCTAGCACATTCTCTTTCCTCAAATTGGAAAGAAAGCACATTATAGGGGTGCCTGGGTGGCTCAGTCTGCTCAGTGTCTGCCTTCAGCTCAGGTCATGATCCCAGGGTCCTGAGATCGAGTCCCACATCAGGCTCCTTGCTCAGAGGGGAGCCTGCTTCTCCTTCTGCCTGCCTCTGATCATGATCTGTCTCATGATCTGTCTCTCTCTCTCTCAAATAAATAGGTAAAATCCTAAAAAAAAAAAAATAAAAAAAAAAAAGAAGAAAAAAAGAAAACACATTATCCTTCTTGTCAACACTGGCATTTTTCCCACTGACTGCAGGGTCCTATTCAAATAATTTCCTTTCTTTCCCAAGTCCTTTGAGAAGTTGTACCTGTGCTAAGTCAGTACCCTGATTCCATGGTCGCTTAACACCACCAAGCCTTTGCCACTATAAACCACCTCTCTGTGAGGATTTATTGTCTTCACTCTTCCCAGCTAACTTCAAGTCCCCAAAGGAAATCCTGGCTTTCCTTCTCATCTGAACTCCACAAGTACCTCTTTTTTTCCTGTCATCATTTGCCTCTATGAAGCCCTTGGTCACACAGTTTGCTTAGGAGATGCTAGACCCAAGAAAACAGTACTCTTGGACTGGACTACAAAGAAAAGTAATTTTAACAAAAAGTAGAAAAATGTAATTTTAGTCAACTGTCCTCTGCAGGAACAAGACATGATGTATTGCAACAGAAAAAACAAGTGACACTGCCATTAATATCCAGCGCCCCCGGAATTCTCTGGCATGCCAGAACACTTTTTTATAGCAGGGCCAAGAAAATTCTATTGGCAAATCTTTAGCAGTACATGCACCTGGGAACTCTTATAGAATCTACAATTCAAAATCCAACTTGACTTTCTGTAAACTGACAGGGGTAATGGAGGGCCTCATTCGAGGTTCTGAATCAAAAACCGATACCAACCACAGGAACTTGATGCCTACTGGGCAGAACACGAGACCAGTAACCTAATGGGAGATTAACAGCCATCCCACTTTCCCAAAGGGTCCCTCCAAACCAGGAGAACTGTGTTGCTGATACAGCCCAAGAAACGGTCACCAATAATGCTACTTCTGTCTATGATCTGGATACCAAGCTGATATGACAGCTTTGCTAACCCCTTCCTCTATCTCTACTAACCCCAATGCACAGTCCTAAGTGGGGAAGAGCAAGGAACAGCAGAAAAACAAGGCTGGCCTATACAACTATGCGGCATGGGTACTCAGAAAAACAGAGCAGGGTGGGTAAGGGAGTCAGAGTGCTGGGGTTCTAATCCCAGCTCCACCACTCACTACCTGTGTGACTTTGCGCGAGCTGCTTAGCCTTTCTGTGCTTCAGTTTCCTCATCAATTAAATATGGACAGTAACATCTAACTCACGGGGCTGTTGCAAGAATTAAATGAAACAATACACTTAGAACGGTGCCTGGCATAGATGAATGCTGGCTATTACTATTAGGTGGAACCATGTAAAACTGCCATTTTGTAGGTCAAGAACAAGAGAATCCTGGAAATTTTATAAGATCCAACCTATTCTCACCATCATCATTCCTAATACTGTTACTGTTATAACTACGCACGAGTTCACGGTCAACAGGGGGCTTTCAGGGCTGACGTCTTAGATGTCGTGGATCCTACAGTCACAGGGAGTCTGCCTAAATTTGCTGACTTCAAGATTGCTTACTTGGAGAGAAACAAAGACAGGAACTCCTTGGCCGCAGTCTTCCTTCATTCTTCTATTCCCCTTTTCAGTATTGCCACTGGGATCGAGAGCATGATGGGTACCATGGAGCACACGAGCACACGAGCACACGAACACACACAGACGCACTTAGGGACACAACAAATGAAGTACCTTGAAGGAAATCACAAACACTCCTTCTGTTTCACTTCCATACTGCTGGACTGCCTCTTCGTCTTCTGTCACCATGACGATTGGCATCTTATCCTGGCAGTGGTGATAGTACCACACCGCGGCGCGGTATATACTCCTGGAAAAGCAAAGCGCACGTAAGCCCACCCAAGACAAGCTGCTGATCAAAGCTTCACACCTGGCTTTTACCCTGCTCCCCTTCAGCATATGCAGACAACCATTTGTTCATTCAACAACTAATTCCCAAGCACCCATTACACACATATCCTGGGGTGGGCACCCTGGGGATACAATGATGAATCAGAGAGCACCTGACATCTCTTCTTCCTGAAGACATCCAACTCCACAGCAGCCTCCTTCATTTCTTGATATGGCCTAGAAACCATGTGGCTCTGCCATCTTCTCATACCATTTAACTGGCATGCCGTGACACATGGCACCACACGGGTGACAAGCTGTACTATGTGAGGTTTAAAAGATGAAGAAACAAGCTAAAAGCAAAACAAGGCTGCAAAGAGCTGAAGACCATAATCTAGTAAGGTCTGCCATGGAATCACAGGAAATGTCTGAAAATCTTCCTGACAAGAACCGGAATTGGGAAATGCAGCCTAGGCCTGAAGACGTGTGTTCGAAATTGAATTAGGTTTCTGATGATGTCTATAAACTCGGACGGCCAGTTTCCATAGGCATTTGTTTCCCTTTCTGCAAAGTAAGATGCCAGGAAAGGTTCCTATAGTTTTAGGTCAAAAAAAAAATTTTTAGCCAGGGACGTCTGGGTGCTCAGTTGGTTAAAAATCTGCCTTTGGCTCAAGTCAGGATCCTGGGATCCAGTCCCACATGGGAGCCTGCTTCTCCCTCTGCCTGCCGCTCCCCCTCTTGTGCACTCTCTCTGACAAATAAATAAAATCTTATAAAAAATTCAACTAATGTATACTGTACAAGCCTGTGTAGTTAGTAGTTAGGAAGCACGATCATTCTCAGTACTCACATGTGACCTAATATAGAGAACGATTTGTTATCCCTCTCTGGTACCGAGCCCTATGGGAACTTAGGACTATAATTAAGGACTCCGTACGCATCAGTGCTTATTTCACTTTAGAGAGTTTAAATATTTAATGGCTAGACAGATCAAGAATTACAAGGAAAAAGACAATTTAAATGTTTTGTATGGATAAGACAGCTGAGAGCTCAAGATCTCAAGGGCTCTCTGCAGAAGAGTGTGGCAGAGGTTATAGGTGCTCAGCACCTATGCCCCAGGCCCACTCCGGACGTCAGCTGGAGTGGGGCGGCACTCCCATCCTACCCCCGGCCCACTGAGTGGAGTCAACACCCCTGCAGAAAGACCCTCAGCTGAAGGCAGAAGTCTCTTTACCACCCTCGCCTCTTCCCTTCTAGACGCCTTCTGAGGCACATACTTACAGCTTCTCAGAAGTTCCCAGTAGGACTGAGCCTCAGTTTCCCACATCCTTAATAACTGCTTTCCCTCCTTCTGTCTCAGGCCCTGCACTTCCTCACCCGTTTCAGGGAACTGCCCCCTACATCGACAACCCACACCCAACTCCTTGCTTCAGGGTCTGCTTATAGGCGGTTCTAAATGGTGACATTACACTTTCTAAAACAGCTTTACCAGAATTAACCTACCAGTTTGTTTAACAAGACTGGTTGGGATATTAGAGGAACCTATACCAGAAAAATGAGATGATCTTAGCTTCAAAGTGGACCTCTTCCCCCCCTTATACACACACACACACACACACACACACACACACACACAAATACACAAGCATTAAAGTTATAAAAGCCAGCTGTTAAGATCTAGGACAAACTCACTCTGAGTATCTGTGGCTCCCTTATGACAATTTCTAAAACGCGTATGTATTCAAACGATAGATCTAAAATAGTGACACAGTCAGCAGTTCAGTATCAGAGTTCTAGAGTAACTGCTGGTTCAGAGAGCCATGCAAGCTTACAGCCATACCTGGTCTGCCACTTTTCCATGGATTCTCCTCTCTCTCGAGGGTGATAGCAGTGCTGCTGGAACTCATTAGCAAAGAGAACGCAGTCATGACGCGCATCCTTCAAGAGATGTCGCAATTTGTTATACTGTCTGGGACACCGAGAAAAAGAAATCTGAGATAGCAGGCAATCATCTACTGCCAGCTCGTGCTAAGGATCAAAGATGAGGCATTTTAGGACAAAAGATTGAGTATTTAAAACCTAAGAAACACTTATTTATATTGGTCTTAGTGCACGTAGTACTACTGGGCTGCTGTTTCTCGGTTCTGCCTGCTAGAATGTGCTCAGGCAGGACCTCATTAATTAGCTTGTGGATCAATCACCCCATCCTTTCCTTTCTAGACTTCTGGCCATTTGTTATGGAATTATATGACCCTGCCCCACACAGCCCCCTCTTCAAAGGCTCGTGCGAGACCAGAGGCAAGCAGGGTTTAGTGCTTTATTTCTGTACCTCACTTTGTTCTATAAATGGCATTAGGCACAAGTACCTTTTACTCTTTGCTGGCAGCCTGGAAAAGGACATGTGAAGGAAATAAATTTGGGGGTTTATCTGTGAATTCTATTTAGGCAGCCCCCTCACTCACACGAATGAGGTCTAGCTTCATCTGTCAGATAAAGAATAAACTTTAGGTTTCTCCCATCAGGAGATCCTTCCAGTAATGCTAGCCAAAGTCTCACACCAAATATGCAGCCGCGTGTGGGTCAGTTTCTAAGATGATGCTTTGCTTTGTTTTTATTTTAAGAAGGTGCTTTTCAGGGGCGCCTGCGTAGCTCTGTGGGTTAAGCCTCTGTCTTCCGCCCACGTCATGATCTCAGGGTCCTGGGATCAGCCCTGCATCTTGTATCCAGCCCTGCATCAAGCCCTGCATGGGCTCCCTGTCCCCGCCCCCCAACTCTGCCTGCTGCTCTTTCTACTTGTGATCTCTCTCCCTCTGTCAGGTAAATAAAGAAAATCTTAAAAAAAAAAAAAAAAAGGTGCCTTTCAATCTTGCCATTTGCAATGACACGGATGGAACTGGAGGTTATTATGCTGAGCGAAATAAGTCAATCAGAGAAAGACAATCACATGATCTCTCTGATGTGAGGAATCTGAGAGGCAGGGCAGGGGGTTGTGGCGGGTAGGGAAGGAAAAAATGAAATAAGATGGGATCGGGGAGCGAGACAAACCAAACCGTAAGAGACTCTTAATCGCACAAAACAATCTGAGGGTTGGGGCGGGGGTAGGGATAGGGTGGCTGGGTGATGGACATTGGGGAGGGTATATGCTATGGTGAGTGCTGTGAAACGTGTAAGCCTGATGATTCACAGACATGTACCCCTGGTGCTAATAATACATTATATGTTAATAAAAAAAATTAATTTTTAAAAAGTGCCTTTTAATAGTCTAGGTAATATGGAATACAGAAATGTTCACTTATCTTAAAGGAGGCCTATTGTTTATTTAAAAATGGACTGATATTAAACCAGACGTTAAATTAACATATAAATTATCCAAGGCAGATGATTGGCATTTAACATGTGTTTTAATATAACAAAATTTGTGCCCTTCCATTCCCACCTCCAGCCCACTGCTGTGGATTTAAAAAAGAAAAAAAAAAAAAGAGCCTTCTCATTAAAGCAAAGGCAGAACTCTCCAACTTCTCTTCTTTAAATAAATGCTAATCACCAATATCTGTGTCATCTTAGCACTTAATTAGAAAACAAGAAACACTGATTTTATTTTCTTAGTAATTCTAATTTTGAGCTATTTTAAAAAGAATCACCAAGTAATAGCACTTCTACAATTTCGTAACAAACAAAAGGATTTAGTTTCAGGTCTGTGAGCGGCAGCTTTCCTTAACAGCATCCCACATGTACAAACAAAAGCCACCCCGCCCCCCAACTCAGAAATGCTTAGGACATGTAACTGGTCATTTTCCCACCTTCACAAAGATATATTTAAAGTCAGTTTTAAAACCTCTAGAAAGGGGCACCTGGGTGGCTCAGTGGGTTAAGCCTCTGCCTTTGGCCCAGGTCATGATCTCAGGGTCCTGGGATCGAGTCCCGCATCGGTCCTCTGCTCAGCAGGGGAGCCTGCTTCCTCCTCTCTCTCTGCCTGCCTCTCTGCCTACTTGTGATCTCTCTGTCAAATAAATAAATAAAATCGTAAAAAATAAATAAATAAATAAATAAATAAAAGTAAAACCTCTATAAAGACGCCTGGGTGGCTCAGTTGGTTAAGTGTCTGCCCTCGTCTCAGGTCATGATCCCAGGGTGCTGGGATCCAGTCCCACATGGGGTTCCTGGCTCAGTGGGAAGACTGCTTCTCCCTCTGCCTGCTGCTCCCCCCCTGCCTGTGCTCTCCCCAACCCCTGACAAATAAATAAAATCTTTGAAAAAAAATAATAAAACTTTGTAGAATATGCATAGAAGAGCCTACACCACCCTGTTTACAGCGAATAGTCCCTTCACAATGGTAAGGTGAAGACTTCCACTTTCTGCTTTACACATTTCTGTAATGCATGAATTTTAAATGAGCCTTATTTCTTAAGCAATAAAAGATTTTAGAAGAGGGACGCCTGGGTGGCTCAGTTGGTTGGACGACTGCTTTCGGCTCAGGTCATGATCCCGGAGTCCCGGGATCGAGTCCCACATCGGGCTCCCAGCTCCATGGGGAGTCTGCTTCTCCCTCTGACCTTCTCCTCGCTCATGCTCTCTCTCACTGCCTCTCTCTCAAATAAATAAATAAAATCTTAAAAAAAAAAAAAGATTTTAGAAGAGACTTTATAAGCAACTGTAATTATTTCAGAGAAAATGCTGAAAAAATATTGCCTATTTTTCCTGATCTTATCCTCCATGGTTTTTGCTTCCTTTATCGACCATAACATTTTTCTAGACCCCTAAAAAAGCACCTGAACTTAGTGCATTCATTTGTTTGCTAATTTTCTTCCATATTAAGCATCCTTCATTTGGCAAATGTTTGCTGTGTTCCTCCTTCTTTTTTTTTTTTTTTAAGATTTTTTAAATTTATTTGACAGACAGAGATCACAAGCAGGCAGAGAGGTGTGTGTGGGGGAGAAGCAGGATCTCTGCTGAGCAGAGAACTCATTGCAGGGCTCCATCTGAGCCAAGGCAGAGGCTTAACCCTCTAAGCCACCCAGGGGCCCCTGCTGCATTCCTTCTATGTGCAGGTCTTGTGCGCCACTGAATGACCTCAGGGGACTCCATCTAGGCATCTCCTTCCTGTCCTTTATCCACAGCACCCTGCTCACAGTGAACATGACAGAATCACACATTCCTCAAAAAAATTAAAACAAGGGGCGCCTGGGTGGCTCAGTGGGTTAAACCTCTGCCTTTGGCTCAGGTCATGATCTCAGGGTCCTGGGATCAAGTCCCGCATTGGGCTCTCTGCTCAGTGGGGAGCCTGCTTCTTCCTCTCTCTCTCTGCCTACTTGTGATCTGTCTGTCAAGTAAATAAATAAAATCTTAAAAAAAAAAAAATTAAAACAAGGACTACTGCATGACCCAGCAACCGCACTTCTGAGCATATACCCCAAAGAACTGAAGACAGGGTCTTAAGCAGATGTCCTTATTCCATTGTTCAGGGCAGCATCTTCACAACAGCCAAGAGTTACCAAGAAGGCAACCTAAAGGTCCAATGACAGACGGATGGATAAACAAAATGTGGGGTATAGATACAAGGGACTATTATTCAATCTTTTAAAAAAGGAGGTTCTGACACATGCTACAACATGGATAAACCTTGGGGCGCCTGGGTGGCTCCGTCGGTTAAGTGTCTGCCTTCAGCTCAGGTCGTGATCCCAGGGTCCTGGGATGGAGCCCTGTGTTGGGAATCCCTACTCAGCAGGGAGTCTGGTTGTCTTTCTGCCCCTCATCCCGCTGGTGTTTTTATGCTCTCCCAATCTCTCTCTCTCTCTCTGAAATAAATAAAATCTTAAAAAAGAATGGATAAATGTTGAAGACATTCTGCTAAGTGAAATAAGCCAGACACAAAAAGGCAAACGCTGTATAATTCCATTTAGATGAGGTACTTAGTCAAATTCATAGAGACAGAAAGTAGAATGGCTGCTGCCAGGGGCTTGGAGGAGGAGGAAGTGGGTGTTAATGTTTACCAGGTGGAGAGCTTCAGTTTACAGAGATGGAGTAAAGTTCTGGAAAGGATGGTGGTGACGGTTGTATGAATGTGAATGTACTCACTGCCACTGAGCTATTCGCTGAAAAATTGTTAGAATAGTGAAGCTGACACTAATTCACTACAGTTTTAAGAAACAGCTAGACTAAGTGGCAAAACAAAATAAAAACAAAACAAAACAAAACAAAAGAACCACCACTCATTTCAGTGGGAGAAGTGGCATGAAGGGGAAAAGTGCAGGGTGCAGAGAACACAGGAGGGCTGGGGAAGGCCTCTGGGAAGAGGGGACACCTGAGAGAAGGACCAGTCAGTGAGACAAAGCACCCAAGGGAGCAGAGGGAGGCACAAAGTTCAGGAGAGCAGACAGTGAGATTCACATGCCCGAGAAATGTTTCCCAAATGCGTTAAGTGAACTCACAATTTCTTGTGACAACAGCGACCCAAATATAAGACAGCAGTGTGTCAGGACCCACCCTGACATTTTCAGAACCCTGTAACTGTTCTGCCAAGCTCTGCACACATCCCCGGATTTGTCCAGACACCTGCCCTCTGCACCCGGGATCCTCCAGCCCTGTCCTCCCCCAGGGACCGATGTTCCATAAGCCAGACCCTGGGTGTTTACCACCAAATTAGAGGAATGACACAGCAAAACATGGAACATAACAAAAAGGATGTTCTCAATTTAAAGTTTTGCTCCCATATATTTTCCTTGGACGTGTCCTGCATGCTTCCATTTGTCAGCTACCTATCAGCCGGTAAGACGAATGAACAAATGGCACAAGAATATTAATGGGGAAAGCAGGAAAGAGTGAATCACTCGGAGTGTGACAGTCGGGTTTCCTTGCAGGCATGTGGGCTTACGGTTGTAATTTAATGGGGCATGCATACAATATAGTCATATTTTTTGCCGGTCAGGGCTGGTGGTGCATACGATGGGGTTAGATGTATGAGTACGTCAC